CATGGGTTACGAACTTCTTTAGAGATAATGGAAGAAGGCTCTGCGTGATGGAATGCCATGTTTTCTTTTCCAGTTTGCTGTGTTTGGTCCAGTTACTGGTTCTGTCTGAGGTGGTGACGTGGAAACTGGTCAAAGCTCTTAGTGACTGTAACTGTTTATCATTGACCCCCGAGATATTAGTCTAGCATGATATGGATGCAGTAGTGATTGGAGTTGAGAAAGACGCTGTTGTGAGTGAGTGAGTTAGATTTTTACGTCACTTTTAGCAATTTTCCAGCAATATCTCATCGGGAGACACCAGAAATGGGTTTGACACATTTTGCCTATGTGGGTAATCAGACCCGGGTCTTCAACGTGACAAGCGAACTCCTTCACCACTAGGCTACACCATCGCCCCCTGCTGAGTAAGGTGTCATGGAAGAAGATTGCGCAGCAGTAGATTTTGCTTCTGAATATGACACATTTTTGTGTGCCTTATTGTCAACATTGTTTACGAATGTGAGAAGCCCAATTCTGGTGACCCCTGTCGTGATATTGCTGGAATATTGCTAAAAGAGGCATAAAACCACTCACTCAAAATATTCCACTTAAACTCAAAAGTTGGACATGACGTAGAGGAGGACATATGGTTCCGTTGCAGTTGACACATTTCATATCATTCGTCCAATCAGATCTGACATAGGCTCTACTGCAACGCCAACAAAGCGGTCCCTTTCACGTCAGGCCCCATCACCACACTATTGACATTTGAAGCACCAAAGTGTTTTTTTTTAGTTCTGCAGCAATCTCTTCCTCTCTCATGCGAGACGAACGATGAGCTAGGTAGTGTACCGTGACGCGTGTTGTATGTGAAGCAGTCATGCAATGCTGGAACAACTCCCTCTGTCGGTCCATAATCGGAAGCAATGACTTCGTTGATGCATCAGTTTGCTGTCAAATTCCCCTGAACCACCACAAAATCAGATCTTTTTGTTTTGGATATCCCATAACACTTCCTCCAGCACGATGTCTTCCATCTCGCCGGTGAAGAAGGAATCGATATTCATCACTGAACCAGACTCGCCTCTAGTTTCTTAGGTTCCATGTCCGGACGTCACCACCCCAAGAGACTGCACCGATTGAAGTCTCTAAAAACAGTGGCTACAATTGGCCGTCTTGGTGGAACCCCCACTTCACGCAATCCGACAGTTTGGTCGGAAACCAGGGATGCGTTGTGCTGTCTCCACGGATGTGGCAAGACGATGAGGCAAGTGAGCAACCCGGATCTAGCGGTCCTGTGCTTGTGTGGTAACTCTTGGACGGCCTCTTCTCGGGCGACCTTGGCGGAGTTGGTCTGCAGAAAACGATCCCAAAGGCGAGATATGGTGCTCTGAACGTTGAAATGTCGGACAACTGCAGACTGCGACTCCCCAGCTTCAAGGCGGCTTATGTCCATGTTTCGAATGGTGGCACTCAGTCGTAGCATGATGATTTCCCCTTTTACAGGCAAAAGCAAATGGCAACATTAAACACAACGTTTGTGTTTTTATAGTGATCGATATCGTATGCTTTTCCACTTACTTGCACGTGTATTGTGCTTTGCATGTTTTCTTGGTGACGTTTTGGTGAATATTTCTTCGAACGCTTCTAAAACAAGGCGAAAAGTTGAAATTGCCGTATTTTGCCACTGAATCTGTTTCCAATCACACAAAGATGACATTTTGGAATGAAAAAGTATATTTGTATTGTTTTTGCTGCAGCTACATGAGTCTCATATTATCAAAATCACCTATGCGTTTCTTTTTTGAAGAGTGTATGTAGAAATACGTGGCTCTCTGACTGATTATTATAACACAAATCTTAGTAGACTGGAAATTTGAAGTCAGAGTGAAACTTGGTTTAGCTTTTTTCAGTTTGCTGAAATACCCGACGTTCATCTTTGGATGATTATAGTCAATGGTCAATAGTTATTGTCAACCTCTGATAATATGTTAGGTGAAGCAATTAGCATGTGTGAAATGCATGCTAATAGCAACAAACTTTAAGTTATTAGGCGGTGGGGGAAGATTGAATACGTTCTGGGAATTTTCTGGACATTTTATTCAGTTTTTGTTGTGATAAAGGTGAGTTCCCTATATCCTCGTCCAAAGCTATCGTTATCCCATTTTATAACAATTACCGTGCCATATAACTTCTCAGTGTTTTGAGTGAGTGAGTTAAGATTTTAAGTCGCATCGGCAATATTTCAGCCATATCGTGACTAAACCTTGTTCTATGTTCATGATAAATACATATAATGAATAATGTATTAAACCCTGTCAACGAAGGACAGTAAAATTACTTGGAATCACAGATTTGTTAAAACTAGAACAAAGAAAATATACTAATAATTAACGATACGAGATAAAACGTTGCAAGAGATCGCTAGCACCGGAAGTGAGGTCACTTACAATAATTATGCTTCCTGCACTGTCCCTTATCTGGATTTATACCATCCCTTCAGCTGCTACCGATTGTAGGTAATGTTACCCACTCAGTGTTTTAACAAATTATATACTAGTAATATCTTAAACAATAGGCTTGTATTCTGGGTTGAGTTTTGTTATAAAATTAAAGAAGAACAAGCTGGTTTTAGAACAGGATATGTAGATACGTTAATTGATAAAGTCATTCGGTCTGTGAACCAAAGGTATGAGTATATGAGTATGGTTTTACGCCTCCGTTAGCATTATTCCAGCAATACCACTGCAGGGACACCAGATATGGGTTTCAATTTTTGTACTTATGTGGGGAATCGAACCCGGGTCATGGGCGTGACGAGCGGAAGCTTTAACCATTAAGGTACCCCACCGCCCCACCAAAGTATTAAAGCATGGGTGCGAAAAATGTCAATGCTTACTTTTTTAAATGTCAACTACGTGTACAGCAAGGTTGTGTGCTTCGTTTGTTTCTGTTCTTGTTATTCATTAAAGAGATGGTTACCGATATCTCGACCACTTGTACAAATTGTGTTCATACTGCAACTGGACGGGCAAATAGAAGAATAGTATGAGAATTATTGTGCTACGGGGTCTTCAAGAAAATCGTCAAAACAGGATTTTGTGGTGTTTAAACATTGGGGCAGACTTTCTGGAATGGAAAATTGGATTTACGAACTTACTCCAATTAAAGTTTCATAGTGGTAAAACAACCATGGTATGATATTTTCTATAAATACACACTTGGCAAGCATCGATAAACCATCTGATCGGATGGACTTGGTTGACCACTTGTCTTCGTATCCCAGCTGCATATACAGACGCACATGCCGTTGACTACCGAATTGTCTGTCAAGACTCGATTATTTACAGATCGCCGTCATAAGAAGCCAAGTTTAGTGAACGACGTTTATACCTGGGTCCCGTTGTACAAAGCGATCTTAATTAGCGCTAAGGGGATAGTAATTTCCATACCTTAACATACATGTAGACTTGCGACTGGCGTAGCGCTAAGGTTGCTTTGTACAACGGCACCCTGTACTATAGAAAGCGCTTGAAATCTTTAAGGTATCAAATGCTGTGTGGAGTGGAGATCGACAAACACTGCTCCATGACTATTGATTTTGATGAGTGAGTGAGTGAGTGAGTTTAGTTTTACGCCGCACTCAGCAATATCCCAGCTATATGGCGGCGGTCTGGAAATAATCGAGTCTGGACCAGACAATCCAGTGATCAACAGCATGAGCATCGATCTGCGCAATTGGAAACCGATGACATGTGTCACCAAGTCAGCGAAACTGACCACCCTATGCCGTTAGTCGCCTCTTACGACAAGCATAGTCGCCTTTTATGGCAAGCACATGGGTTGCTGAAGACCTATTCTACCCCGGATCTTCACGGGTCTGATTTTGATGAGATTGAATGTTGATGGTTGATGCAATTACAGTTTAGATCGTTCATAGTTTCGCGATTTCGACACCAATCATCGTCAAGAACATTCGCCATGGAGTAACATGAATTTTACTGTCATTATAAATATGGCAAAAGCCCTTCTAATCCAGCATCTAGATAAAAAAAATGAAAAATAAAAAAACCGCGATTCCACCATTTGGCATGGACATGCTACACCATATCATAGGTGCTCGTTGATGCTATTGCTGAAGATCAATGACAACAATGCCTATTGGTTAAAAAAGAAGTCTAAAACTAATCAAATACGTTATCAACAACATTTTCAAAAATCATAAATCAAAGTCAATATTTACAGAGATGAATAAAAATCGGGTGAGAAGGTATCAGGTAGCGTTCCTAATATTTGTACTTTATGAATAACTTATTGAAGCTCCACTCTTATTGAAGACACAAAGACCATAGTATTAGCTTTGAAATATAGTGAAAGGTCTTTCGAGAAAATCGAAATTCTGATCTTCTTAGCTGAAATGTGACACTGTCCTTTTGATCCTTATTTAGAAGCTGAACAAAATTAAAATGTTATGTAAATAGGGAGGATTGTTTTTAAGGTATCGACCTGTACACAATGTGATGTCTGCTGTTTAAATGTATTCCAAAGAATCTCCTCTGCAATGTCATGTTTGCTAAGTGATATCTAATATAACATATGTTATATTTGGGATTACACTTTCTCAGTAAAGAACAGATTCTAGTACAATTGTTGGGTTGAGACCCATCCGGGATTCGAACCTACACCATCAGCGTCAATCACGTAATCGCCAGCACACAAAGTCAGCAGCCTAGCCCAATCAACCACTGCGGCTAGACTACCAGTTGTCCGACTTCCAATTTTGTGAAAGCCGCGGTAGCTGAGCGGTTTAGATGGCTAAAATTGTGCGTTGGCGATTAGGAGCCTGACTCTGAGGGTGTGGGTTCGAATCCCGGATGGTACTTAACCCAACAAACGTACTAGAATCTGTACTTTACTCAGAAACTGTAACCCGAATATAACATGTTACATTTGACCACTTTCTAAAGGGCACTGTGTATTGATATCTAGTACTCCGCTGTAGTATGTTAGATCTGGCTTACCTCCGTGGTACCGACGATCATGTGCTTGTGTGTGTAGTAGAACACTTGTCACGACCAACAGGTATCCATAGATGAGCCCCATGTTGAAGCCAGTCTGTGTTTTCCCCCTGTCACTAGAGCGTGATCCAACACGTCATGCCTCCCAGACCACCAGAGATGTTATCAGCACATGTTCCACACTGGAGTCAGAAGGCCTACTATTACGCCAATCCGTAGAAGACACGCCTTTTACTATCATATATCCCTGCCACGTGAGCTTCGTTGGTGTTAAGTTCGTAACATCCTCGTTGCAAGCTACGTTGTACATATATTTTCTACCACTGTTCCATTGGTGTAGACCCTTTCACCACTTGCTTGAATGTCAATATTGTGAAGTGGTGGTTTTAATTATAGGTTACCCTGACATTGATCGTGAGTGAGTTAACCTGTAACGTCACCTCGGCACTATTTCAGCCATATTGTGACATTAACAGCATAATATGTAATATCTGCCATTATGCAGCTATACCGGGTCCTATGCACAGAGAAATGTTGGATTCAGTTAACCACTTGTCGACACTGTGTTATAGCCACAGACACAGGAAGCACCCACTATGTTGTCAAGAGGCAACGTGTACAAGTCTCCTATGTTAAACAGTATGGGCGTGTGTAAGTGTTTGATCCTATAGACAATACAAACATTATCTGGCACAGAGGTACTCCACAATGTGTTTGACTTACGTCCCATGACAGTGAAAGTATTTTCATCCTCCGTGTTTTTAAATGGTAGCATTTCTGTTAGATTTAGTTGTTTGGCTTCACTGTCCGATAATCGACAGTAACCGAAGGAATGGTTTTCATCCAGCTGGGGTACCATGCAGGTAACAGAAGTATCGTAAGCCCTAGTCTTTGACCTATATCTGTGATAATCTAGTTACTTTACTGTCATTTTCTGACAGGTTTTTAGTTCGAAATGTATCAGTATTATTAGTGTGCAACTAGTTTTAGTCACCATATGGCTGAAATATTGCCGATGTGACTTTAAATATTAACTCATATATTATCATTCAGAAATGTGTAATGCCATCTAAGGAGATATTTATTGAATTTGGCAATCAAAATATGTTGTAATACGTCAGTTAAGGTCTAAGAACTTATATCATTTCTTTGTGGAAGATCACAATGTAAAATGCCCAAAACAGACTGCTAATATTTTCAAAACTTCTGTAATGCTCGCTTTTCCATGTAACAAGCTTTGTTAAAAATATCTGGATTGGGTTTAAAATAGATTGTTTCAATAAACATGATACCCAGTGTTGCAGATCCTGGTGAGCATCCAAACATTTATCATCTATATGTGAACAGGGAGACTATATAAGACAGTACATAGTTTAATATTGGTAGTGCTTAATATGCACCTTAATTGTATCTTTAAAAGGAGTTGAAGTAAAATTACAGTCCCCCTGAGAGGTTATGTCAGACAACATAATAGCAAAGTAATTTATCTAAATCACAGGTTTAGTCGCACTAAAATTTCACTTACTGAATAAAAATATCCTTCAAATGTCAGAAGCTAGAGTGATCGCGTAAATCTGGTTGAGGATAACTCTGGTGTAGGAGGTAGAAGTATTGTCATTCCTCACGGCCCCTAGTAGGGTGGTCTACCTATTGTCCGACATCAACATGTGTTGCGGAATAATAATTTAGTAAATGGTCTCAAACTAGTGTTAAGTGTAATCTGTGATATTCTAGCTGTTAAAGGCCGGGGTCAAACCTATACACAGATGGGGCGTGGCCTCTTTGCCTTGTCAAAGCTGTCTTTTGATGCAAAGCAATGCAGTATTCAAGTACATTCCATGAAATATCACAAAGCTGCCTTACCAAATCAGGCTGATATTAAGTCACAGTATAAAGAAGTATGTTGTGAAGACTCACAGCAAAACGTATGGATGCAGAGAGTCTACAAAACATACATTTTGAAAATATATTTCTCATTTTTAAATCCAGATTTGAATTTCCCACTGTGCCAGTCAGGTGGCCAGAGGAGGTGTGTTTCCATAGAAACAAGCCTTGGAGTGGGGGAATTGTTTTTATATTTCAATGTCTTTCAAGAAGTATATATTTACTGATCACTAATGAATGACTTTCTGTTGTCAGATATGGCTGAAATAGTGCTGATTTAACTCAATCACTCATTCAGATTGAAATTACTTGATTATCATTAATAAAATTCGACTCCATCAACCCCTATTCATCAGACAGGGTGAGTGAGTTGGGTTTGACTTGCTTTCAGCAACATTCCAGCAATATCATGGCTGAAGACACCAGAAATGGGCTTCACATATTGTACCCATGTTGGGGTTGGGAATTGAACCCGGGTCTTCAGCATGATGAGTGAACTCTTAAACCACATGGCTCCTCCTACTCATTAGAACTTTTGGTGGTCGTACACACTGACTTCATTGATGCAAGTCGGCGTATTCTACCTGTATAGATTGCTACACATGTCGTCAATCACTGGATTGTCTGTTCCAGGCTTGACTATTGAATGGCTGCTGTCATATGGATGTAATATAGCAGCATTAAACAACAAACAAACCTCAGACAGAGCTGTACACAATGACACAAACAGGAAGTATGTTCATATTGTTTTATTATGCAGACACAATAGTGCCCTGTCTCTGAAAACAGACCTGATAATGTTGGTGTCTATACTGAAGCTGTTGTGCAGAGGAACCAGGAGGCGGGAAGCATCCATCACTTGACGTAAACGAGCACAGACCAGGTGTCTAACTCACCTAACTTAACAGAAAGGATAAAAGCTACAATTCAAAACATCAGATTCATATTTGATAAGTAAATTTCTTTTCCTGGTTACCAATGTGGCCATGCAAATGACAGTAACAAAACCAACTGATGTAAATAGTCAAAGTTAATAAAGGCCTTGCCCATAATCCATCATTAGATTTTCAACGTTCTAAATATTCTTTAATAGAGTACTGGACAGTTGATGTTAACAGTTTAAGGATGACTTACTGGAAGTATGAATGTAGGACAACATAAATCGTGTAGCTCGTCAACAAAACCAGTAGTAAAAATGAGATTTCCTTTGTCTTAGACACATGATAATGTGTGGCTGTGTGCTTGGCAGTGATTCGTGTTGGGATGGGAAGCTTATAATTATATATTAGGGCCTTAAAATATTCTACTTGTTGGCCTGCTAAAGTAAACATGTTGGCAATATTATAGATTATTGTAAGTGGATGAAAATATCTGAATTCAAGTGATGTCTTAATCCGTAGGCTCATCAGGAAAACTGAATCACTTAGTACCTGCCCATACCCAGTTTCTCACAACAGTTCTCTGCACATACCACCATAGGTATTAATCAGCTTTGTACGACATCAACATTACAGTAAAACATTTACCTTGCTTGCACAATAGGGTGCAAATGTCAACAATAACATATAAAGACAACTGGATAAAATCTCTTGCAACATTGTGTACAGGCAAATCATCTCTAACAAACATAGCAGTGTAACAGTGTGGTCACAGGCAAACATACAAAATATTCCGGGGTATGAAAGTTCAAGTTCTTTGGCAGATTGGAGGTACATGTGCTACGTTAAGTAGGCTTGCAGACCAAGTCCATGAAGGAGTGAAACAGTGACAAAAGGTGTGATGCAATCTGTGGCAGCCCGAGTGGCCTCAGCCTTGACATTGCTGGGATCCCATCTTGGATAGTTGACGAGATCTCATCTTGGATAGTTGACAAGATCTCATCTTGGATATCATCTTGGATAGTTGACGAGATGTCATCTTGGATAATTGACGGGGATCTCATCTTTGATTGTTGAGATTTCATCTTTAATAGTTGAGGAGCTTTCATCTTTGATTGTTGACGAGATGTCATCTTCAACACCTGACGAGATCTCATCTTTGACACCTGACGAGATCTCATCTTTGATTGTTGACGAGATCGCATCTTTGATTGTTGACGAGATCGCACCTTTGACACCTGACAACATTTCATTGTTGATAATTGTTGGGATCCCTTCTGTTAGACTTAAAGTGACTGAAATACTTTAACCCTGAAAAGAATCAGTAGCCACTGGTGTATAACAGTGATAACATGCTCATTACACAGTACAAAGCTGGAACAGCAACTAAATAATACATAACTGGTCTGATTCCATCAGTATCAGCTATATTACACCATCATAACACATGGGTGCATAGGCAATAAGTACTGTATAAAGTATATTCAAACACAAAACTAACTACAATCATGTTTCCTATACCATAATGTAATTTTTTAATTTTTACACTGATATGAAATATAAACATATTATTTCCTAAAATTACTCCCGATATTGCATACTCATCAAAACAAAGATGTGCTTGATTATTTCTTCTGGGCCGATAGCATGTGTCTTACACTCTAAAATGTCATAAAATTAGACACATGATTAGTGAAACACATCATTCAAAATGTCTATAAAAACTTTGTTGAATAGCAGTTCCAAAGGAAAAGAACTCTGGAGGTGTAACTTTCACATTGATTCCGATAAATGTCAAATCAAGGTCAAAGGTGTTTGTGTCACACAGTAAAATGGTCGTCCAACCAGTAACACCATACACCCCACACCAACATAACTATAAGAAGTTCTTACTTATGAATACATCCGTGTGATCACAGCTAATTCTGTGTTTGAGTATACAAGCGGATTAAGTTTCTACCATTCCAGACTAAACTTTGTGTTTTGAATACATAAATTATTAACTTAACAATGTTTTTAAGTCTTGGAACAGCTCATTTTAAAGAATATTAGGTGGTAGTGCCCTGCGAAACAAGTAAATAGTTAGGTCAAATACTCAGAACAAACCTTATATCTTTGGAAAGAATAAGAAAATTTATTTGAATTTACAAAAAGTGAGTGAGTCAGTACGGTTATACACTACTATAATATTACAGCAATATCACAGTGGAGGATATGAGAACTGCTCCTCACTAATTGTACCCATTGGGAAACCACTCTGACCACCAAACGCAACTACCACCGCCACAACTGAACACAATATTGTATCATATATCAAAATAACAGAGTTTCATCAATTCTTTCTGGATTCAATCAGATATCCTCTGTATTGATTAGAGCACTTGAATGTTAGGACCAAAGAGTTTGTGTCATCTGTGGACAAAACTTGCATGTATATGTTCTTGAATCACTGCCTTCCTGAACGTTTTAAATAATTATACAGAAGCCATCATAATTTTAATAACTATTTCTTAATGTAGTATTTCCATAAACACGTAATAAAAAACCATCAGGATTTACTGATAAAATACTCATACTTTTCATAATATACTTTTATCTTGGTCGTTTCTAGCAAAGAACATGATATTGCCTTTCATGTTCATAACTGACTAGATCACACACAATAAACAATAATACATAATCAGAACAGTTTCACTACGCAATCATTTTGAAGACAGCATACCCATATATTTGTAAAATGACTAACATTTTGGTGTGAATTGATCTAAGAGTGAACTCCTATTTGCCCTGCTATCCATAGCCTTGATCAACATTGCACTTGGTAGCTTTGTCCATCAAATGTTCACTGTTTACCAGGATTAGAGACACACACTGTTGGATATCTTTCACATAATGTTCTGTTTTTCTGATAAGAATCTCCAAAGACAGAGCTTTGACATCATTGGCTTGTCGTGTTTGTCTGTCATCAAATGAGAAGCCTTGTTTCATAACTTCTGCTTGCCTGGAATGAGATCCGTGATTTGATTGGTCATCAGCTGAGCTCAGATAGGTTGACAGCCTCTCTTTGATTTCAGAATGGAAATGCCTGAAAAAAAAAAAATGAACAACATCATTGTAACACAAAACAAGAATTAGTTTATATAATATGCTTGAAATAACATACTGAAAACACGTTTCAAACAAATTCATATTGATGGGTCCATACAAGTAGTGAAAGCTAAACCTCTTCAAACACAGTAGTCAATTCTATGAGATAAGGATATACTGATACCATTAGCTTGTCTCTTCATTCTCTCAGAAACACATACAAAAAACCCCCAAAACATGTCACTAAAACACACCCTTGTCCCATGCAGTTACATGGGACAGCTATGGGAGACAGCTACAGGAAAAGGGCGACATGGGACAACTGCAGGTAGTGGATACATTGGAAGACAACAGAAGTCAGCTACATGGGAAGACTACATTGAATGGCTACCAGGGAAAACTGCAGGTAGTGGCAACATTGGAAGACAACAGAAGTCAGTTACATGGGGAAGACTACGTTGAATGGCTACAAGGGACAACTGCAGGAAGTGGCTACATTGGAAGAAAACAGAAGTCAGCTACATGGGAAGACTACATTGAATGGCTACATGGGACAACTGCAGGAAGTGGCTACATTGGAAGACAACAGAGGTCAGCTACATGGGGAAGACTACATTGAATGGCTACATGGGACAACTGCAGGAAGTGGCTACATTGGAAGAAAACAGAAGTCAGCTACATGGGAAGACTACATTGAATGGCTACAAGGGACAACTGCAGGAAGTGGCTACATTGGAAGACAACAGAAGTCAGCTACATGGGAAGACTACATTGAATGGCTACAAGGGACAACTGCAGGAAATGGCTACATTGGAAGACAACAGAAGTCAGCTACATGGGAAGACTACATTGAATGGCTACATGGGACAACTGCAGGAAGTGGCTACATTGGAAGACAACAGAAATAGCTATATGGAAGACTACATTGAATGGCTACATGGGACAACTGCAGGAAGTGGCTACATTGGAAGACAACAGAAATCAGCTACATTGGAAAACTATATTGAATGGCTACAAGGGATAACTGCAGGTGGTGGCTACATTGGAAGACAACAGAAGTCATCTACATGGGGAAGACTACATTGAATGGCTACAAGGGACAACTGCAGGTAGTGGCAACATTGGAAGACAACAGAAGTCAGCTACATGGGAAGACTACATTGAATGGCTACAAGGGATAACTACAGGTGGTGGCTACATTGGAAGACAACAGAAGTCAGCTACATGGGAAGACTACATTGAATGGCTACATGGGACAACTGCAGGTGGTGGCTACATTGGAAGACAACAGAAGTCAGCTACATGGGGAAGACTACATTGAATGGCTACATGGGACAACTGCAGGAAGTGGCTACATTGGAAGACAACAGAAGTCAGCTACATGGGAAGACTACATTGAATGGCTACATGGGACAACTGCAGGAAGTGGCTACATTGGAAGACAACAGAAGTCAGCTACATGGGAAGACTACATTGAATGGCTACATGGGACAACTGCAGGTGGTGGCTACATTGGAAGACAACAGAAGTCAGCTACATGGGGAAGACTACATTGAATGGCTACAAGGGACAACTGCAGGTGGTGGCTACATTGGAAGACAACAGAAGTCAGCTACATGGGGAAGACTACATTGAATGGCTACAAGGGACAACTGCAGGTAGTGGCTACATTGAAACACAACCCTGCTATCCACCCAAAAGCTTTTGAGCTGATCCCTCATAGTCTGTAGCAGTTGACAAAAGCACGGTCATTGTAACAGCTCTAAAGTTGTCTGAATCTTACAACCTTATCAATAACATAAATCATAAAGTGCAACTTACTTGAGCCTCTTAACTGTGTCTTTGACTTCAGCACATTTGTGTCTGATATCCATGGTAACATGCTGTACCCGCCCTCGCTCTTCCATCAGGCAGCTCTCTGTGACTGACCTCAACTGTTGTTCCTGCTGCACCTGGGCCTTCAGCTTCTCCACGCTTGCATACACCTGGAACAATTTACATACAAGGGAGTGTAGCAAGTACATGGTGAGTGTATAGGTACATGGTGAGCGTAGCAAGTACATGGTGGGTGTATAAGTACAAGGTGAGTGCATGGTGAGTGTATAAGTACATGGTGAGTGTGTAAGTACATGGAGAGTGTATAAGTACATGGTGAGTGAATGATGAGTGTATAAGTACATGGTAAGTGTATAAGAACATTGAGAGTGTATAGTACATGGAGAGCGTATAAGTACATGGTGAGTGTATAAGTACATGGTGAGTGCATGATGAGTGTATAAGTACATGGTGAGTGTATAAGTACATGGTGAGCGTATAAGTACATGGAGAGTGTATAAGTACATGGAGAGTGTATAAGTACATGGAGAGTGTATAAGTACATGGTGAGTGCATGGTGAGTGTATAAGTACATGGAGAGTGTATAAGTACATGGAGAGTGTATAAGTACATGGTGAGTGCATGGTGAGTGTATAAGTACATGGAGAGTGTATAAGTACATGGAGAGTGTATAAGTACATGGTGAGTGTATAAGTACATGGTGAGTGTACCAGTTGATGGTGAGTACCTGGTTCAGCTGGATTGCCATCTCCTGCATCTCCCCCTCTAGACGGTCAGCATAACACTGCTCCAGGTGGGAGGAAGCCAGTGGGGCGCGACTGTGCCACCGAGCTATTGCATTTGTCATCTTCTTCCGGGGACCAAACAACCTGGATCATTAAGTAAGTCAACCTTTAATAGATCATATTTTACTTCCTTCAAAAGAGCAATACTCACAATTATGACAAATTCATTCAACAACCTATGTTCAGTAGATTTTGTTTTTTACGTTCCTGTTACAACATCAGCAGCAACTGCCAATGTAAGTCCATATTGTTGGCTTTGGTTGGAGTGTTGTTCTTACACTTTAACATAAAGAGTAAAACACAAGTACGGAGCACTGAATAGCCTCATAACACTCATACCATAGTAAATGACGTCACCTAGCAATAAGCATTTGAGGAGAGACACTATCAGCCAAGTCACCTAGCCATAAGCGAATGAGGAGCTAATATCAGCCAAGTCACCAAGCCATAAGCATATGAGGAGACAATATCAGCCAAGTCACCAAGCCATAAGAATATGAGGAGACAATATCAGCCAAGTCACCAAGCCATAAGCATATGAGGAGACAATATCAGCCAAGTCACCAAGCCATAAGAATATGTGGAGACAATATCAGCCAAGTCACCAAGCCATAAGAATATGAGGAGACAATATCAGCCAAGTCACCAAGCCATAAGCATATGAGGAGACAATATCAGCCAAGTCACCAAGCCATAAGCGAATGAGGAGCTAATATCAGCCAAGTCACCAAGCCATAAGAATATGAGGAGACAATATCAGCCAAGTCACCAAGCCATAAGAATATGAGGAGACAATATCAGCCAAGTCACCAAGCCATAAGCATATGAGGAGACAATATCAGCCAAGTCACCAAGCCATAAGAATATGAGGAGACAATATCAGCAAAGTCACCAAGCCATAAGTGAATGAGGAGACAATATCAGCCAAGTCACCAAGCCATAAGTGAATGAGGAGACAATATCAGCCAAGTCACCAAGCCATAAGCAAATGAGGAGCTAATAGCAGCCAAGTCACCAAGCCATAAGCATATGAGGAGACACCAGCCAGTCACCAAGCCATAAGCATATGAGGAGACAATATCAGCCAAGTCACCAAGCCATAAGAATATGAGGAGACAATATCAGCCAAGTCACCAAGCCATAATGTTTAATGAGGAGCTAATAGCAGCACCAAGTCACCAAGCCATAAGCATAATGAGAGGACAATATCAGCCAAGTCACCAAGCCATAAGTATGAGGAGACAATATCAGCCAAGTCACCAAGCCATAAGCATATGAGGAGACAATATCAGCCAAGTCACCAAGCCATAAGCATATGAGGAGACACTATCAGCCAAGTCACCAAGCCATAAGCATATGAGGAGACACTATCAGCCAAGTCACCTAGCCATAAGCATATGAGGAGACACTATCAGCCAAGTCACCTAGCCATAAGCATATGAGGAGACAATATCAGCCAAGTCACCAAGCCATAAGCATATGAGGAGACAATATCAGCCAAGTCACTTAGCCATAAGAATACGAGGGAGACAATCAGCCAAGTCACCAAGCCATGCATGAGGAGACAATATCAGCCAAGTCACCTAGCCATAAGTTTAATGAGGAGCTTATATCAGCCTAAGTCATCTAGTCAAGCGTATGAGGAGACACTATCAGCCAAGTCACCTAAGCCATATGAGGAGACAATATCAGCCAAGTCACTTTAGCCATAAGCATATGAGGAGACAATATCAGCCAAGTCACCAAGCCATAAGAATATGAGGAGACAATATCAGCCAAGTCACCAAGCCATAAGCATATGAGGAGACAATATCAGCCAAGTCACCAAGCCATAGTTTAATGAGGAGCTAATATCAGCCAAGTCAAGCCATAAGAATATGAGGGAGACAATATCAGCCAAGCAAGCCATAAGAATATGAGGAGACAATATCAGCCAAGTCACCAAGCCATAAGCATATGAGGAGACAATATCAGCCAAGTCACCAAGCCATAAAGTGAATGAGGAGACAATATCAGCATAAGTGAATGAAGTCACCAGCCAAGTCACCAAGCCATAAGTGAATGAGGAGACAATATCAGCCAAGTCACCAAGCCATAAGCGAATGAGGAGCTAATAGCAGCCAAGTCACCAAGCCATAAGCATATGAGGAGACAATATCAGCCAAGTCACCAAGCCATAAGCATATGAGGAGACAATATCAGCCAAGTCACCAAGCCATAAGAATATGAGGAGACAATATCAGCCAAGTCACCAAGCCATAAGCGAATGAGGAGCTAATATCAGCCAAGTCACCAAGCCATAAGCATATGAGGAGACAATATCAGCCAAGTCACCAAGCCATAAGAGTATGAGGAGATAATATCAGCCAAGTCACTAAGCCATAAGCATATGAGGAGACAATATCAGCCAAGTCACCAAGCCATAAGCATATGAGGAGACACTATCAGCCAAGTCACCAAGCCATAAGCATATGAGGAGACACTATCAGCCAAGTCACCTAGCCATAAGCATATGAGGAGACACTATCAGCCAAGTCACCTAGCCATAAGCATATGAGGAGACAATATCAGCCAAGTCACCAAGCCATAAGCATATGAGGAGACAATATCAGCCAAGTCACTTAGCCATAAGAATACGAGGAGACAATATCAGCCAAGTCACCAAGCCATAAGCGTATGAGGAGACAATATCAGCCAAGTCACCTAGCCATAAGCGAATGAGGAGCTTATATCAGCCAAGTCACCTAGTCATAAGCGTATGAGGAGACACTATCAGCCAAGTCACCTAGCCATAAGCGTATGAGGAGACAATATCAGCCAAGTCACTTAGCCATAAGCGTATGAGGAGACACTATCAGCCAAGTCACCTAGCCATAAGCGTATGAGGAGACAATATCAGCCAAGTCACCTAGCCATAAGCGTATGAGGAGACACTATCAGCCAAGTCACCTAGCCATAAAAATACGAAGAGACAATATCAGCCAAATCACCTCGTCTGAAAGCCTGATTCATATGATCGCCTCTAAAGGCCAGCATAAGTAATTGGGGGCCCAATCTATACCTATATTTACAATTGGGTTAGAATGGCAGCGACAAACTTATAATTTATGAAAATGCTACTCACTTTATGCCTATCTCCTTAAGATCATTATCTGTGAGAGAGAGGAACACTGGCAGATCAACATCCTGCTCCTCGAATGTTGCCAGATATTTTTGTAGCCCCAACTGCTGCAGCAGGGTGTGTAGATCCTGGGGGTCACCAGGGAGTATGCATGCAGTCTCCGCCAGCGGCCGCCGCAGCCCTGACGGTGTGTCCCGAGGCTGCAGGGGGGGCAAATAGTCATAGGGAATACTGCTGCCACTGCCATCTTGCCTAAGTGCAAGTGGTGTGGGATCCTTTGTAAACTCTGAATCTTGCACAATTGCGGAATCTTTGTCACTGCCATAGTCTCTCATAATGGAAGGAGAGGTCATTGGTGAATAACTGGAGTCAGAGTCAGATTCCTTCCCAATCTGTGATATGGTTCGAGATGTGAAGCTGGGACTAGAAATGTCACTTGTGTTTGAGATCTGGAGATTTTCCATTTGAGATTCGATGTGTGGTGTTTGCTGCAGATTTTGTTCATGTCTGTCATAATCAGACATGTGAGACCAGGCTTTCTTTCCTGAGGTCTGATCACGTGATTTCGACTTCCTGTCATGTGACTCTATTGTCTTGTCATGATCCACAGACTTCTTTTCATGTGGAATAATATCCTGTGCCTCTGATGCCCTGATGTGTGAAACACTCGTCCTGTCCTCGATCATAGTGTCATGTGACTCTGCTGGCCTGTCATGTGACCCTGACATGACAAGCTCGTCACTGTCACTACTGCTCTCTCGGTGGAGTCCGAGGGCAGCCACCAGTCCACCACTAGAGCTGGAGCTGCTCTTGATGGTTATTGCACCAGTTTTGGAGAAGGCATTGCTGTCATCATCATAATCACAAGACTCTGCAACACACAAAGCAGGCAACAGTTGAGCATTTCAAACTCGCACTACCTAATACATGCAACAATGAAAAAAAAAGGTGTATAAACTGTATTTATTGTACAAATATAAGTTGTGTACAGATACCCAGGGATGAATCTAGACTTGCTCAGAGTAAATATTTGGCCTCAAGTCTTCAACAAATGTCCCATTATCAACAGTCTAAGTAAACTTAGCCTCAGTATTATTTGTTACACTGCTATACTGAGTCTAACAAAACCTTGTGGAAGGTTGCGTCAGGTAACCTTTGAGCGACCTATGACCGCCCATTCAAACGCGAGACGGACGAACCAATCAGACAACGGCTACTATTTAGAGTTCGGCGTTACTTACAAAATGGATTTTCTCTTCCCCGCTCACCAACACTGATCTCACAACAAATGAAAACCCGCATACAACACAGGTATCATTCTCTTCCCACAGAGGTTACTCCTGTCATATCTTCCTACGTAACCTCTGTTCTAATACGGCCCTTTCATGGTGTGAGCGTTCAAGACTCGTGATTGGAGGCAATCAGATTTAGTTGTGCAATCAGCGACGTTGTTTCAAAAGTGATCATTCGCAAGGCCTCGGTAATTTCCGTATGCTTCGCGAAAACTAAACTTCTTCCCCTGCGCGATGCGCAAACGTTTCTTCTAGACAGAGCTCAGTCATGTTATGGTGGATCAGTGGCGTTTCCATCGCCCTCGTTGACAACGGACAAGTTAGCCATTAAACGCCTTGTGTGTAACATCAACACAAGTCCCCGCAGATGGGGATATTTGTGGCCCCACATTTGCTTGTGTTAGTCAAGTTGAATCTAAGTCGATGTAACACGGTTCTGATTGGATAGAAAGAAGGGAGATAATTCGTGGTATGCGATCTTTTGCCGCTTAGGGATTTTACGAGAACCGGGAAATATGGCCGTGTATTAGAACAGAGGTTCAGAGGAAGATATGACAAGTAACCTCTGTGGGAAGAGAATGCACAAGAACCTGACATCCTTGAATACTGACAAAACACTATTTTCAGCGACTGTTTACTCACTGTTGTGGCGTGCTCTGTGTGCATCACTCGGAAGCGATTGTACAGAAAATAGCATTCGGAATCATTCGGGTACAAAACCTTTTCGAGGTAAAAGTTCAAAAGGTATACATGTGCGAATGTCAACTTTCGTGACTTGGTATGCTATGTTCTGATTGGCAATTGAAAAGGTTACCTGACGTGACCTTCCACACACTGCACTCCATGCCCCACACACAGCACTCCATGCCCCACACACTGCACTCCATGCCCCACACACTGCACTCCATGCCCCACACACAGCACTCCATGCCCCACACACTGCACTCCATGCCCCACACACTGCGCTCCATGCCCCACACACTGCACTCCATGCCCCACATACAGCACTCCATGCCCCACACTGCACTCCATGCCCCACACACTGCTCTCTATGCCCCACACACTGCACTCCATGCCCCACACACTGCACTCCATGCCCCACACACTGCACTCCATGCTCCACACACTGTACTCCATGCCCCACACTGCACTCCATGCCCCACACACAGCACTCTATGCCCCACACAGCACTCCATGCCCCACACAGCACTCCATGCCCCACACACTGCACTCTATGCCCCACACACTGCACTCCATGCTCCACACACTGTACTCCATGCCCCACACACTGCACTCCATGCCCCACACACTGCACTCTATGCCCCACACACTGCACTCCATGCCCCACACACTGCACTCTATGCCCCACACACTGCACTCCATGCCCCACACACTGCACTCCATGCCCCACACACTGCACTCCATGCTCCACACACTGTAGTCCATGCTCCACACACAAGAATTTGTGTATGCCCACACACTGTGCTCCTTGCCCCTCACAATGCACTCCATGCCCCACACGCTGAACCTCATGCCCCACACATGGCACTCCAATGACCCCCCTGAGTCCTTCAGCCTTACCTCGCCCCCCAGAACTGTCCAGTGTGTAGTCTTCTGGGTTGATGGGAGAGGTAACATCCCTGTAAGAGAGTTTGGTCTCCTCTGCCTGTGGTCCTTCTGCCTGTGGGAATGTCATGTAGCCTTTTGGCACACAGGAATCTGTCACAGCAGAGTGAGTGGGGGTGTGAGTGAGTTAGAGAGCAATATCAGAGCAGCTTACAGCCATAGGGTGAGTAATAATTCTGTATCTAATTACTAAAACATTATTTTTATCTGGGTTTGCTTGTAACCACTGGGCAAAACATCTGGACATTGGATCAAGTTTATAGGTGAATTGTTGCTGAATGACCTGACTAACTATTGGGTGGGAAGGAAAGGACTCTTTTCAAAAGTGTAATCTCGTTCCACAGTTGTGAATGTCTGGGTGAAATGTACATAAATCAAGACAGTTAACACTTTGACAGATTGCAGGTTAACAGCATGGGGTCTCACTGGATGGGAGGATGAAATGACCGAGCAGACAATCCATCATTGACACTTCATGGGAGATATCCCATGGGTGAGATCAATAAAACCGAGATCAAAGTCAATGTGTTTGGCAAGGAGTCGTGATATCATTTGTTACTATACTATGATATCAAATGACTTCAAAGATCTCTCAGCCACCAAAACGGGTCAGCTGCACTATTCACCCTTATGACACTGTCTTTGATTATTTAAAAACTAATATAAGATAATATAATATAAACTTAGATAAGGACAGTGAAATAGGATGATAAAAAGAATGTCATCCATTTGTTTTTTTATATCAAACATGAGCTTCTGTTGACATAGTTCATTTCAAAAAGACACTGAAGATTACTTCTTTGAGAGGCATTTGGAAGTTGGGGCAGTAAGAAAGGATTACAATATATGGATGAACAACTTCTTTATGGCTGTGAGAGCGACGTTTCGGTGTATGTTCATCACTTGCTTGATAACGGTGTTAGAACCTACACCGAAACGTTGCTCTCACAGCAATAAGGAAGTTGTTCATCCATATACAGTTATCCTTCCACACTGAAGATTGTCAGTGTATGCCACCAGGAGCCACAGGTCAACCTACTGGGGTGGCCAGGGTGGCCGCTGTGGCCTCTGTCAATCAGTCGGGCTATTGCCTTTGGCCCATCCGTGATGTTTGGGTCTGCAAGAAGAACACATAGGTGTGACATTTTCAACGACAAACAAGAAGAATAAAGAAATGAAATGACTAGACACATAACACAAAAGGAGATACACAGAAGGAAAGGTGTAATTGGAGTCAATGTGCAAATTAAAGTTGTCTGACACACATAGATCAAGAATAGATTTTATTCAAAAGGTTGTTAAATTATTCAACAGACCTAACCATGATTGAAACTATCTGAGGTCAGCAGCAATTTTGATCAGAGTCTTGACACATTTTAGCGGTGAAGGTGAGGTGGAATTGGGTTTAACGTCGTGCTTGAGAATATTTCGCTCATATGACGAAGACATTTTAGCAATGGGAGATTCTAAACCCTAAAGCCAGAACTTTACTTAATATTAAGTGTTGTATATCCAACAAAGACTACCGAGAATGGAAGAAGAGAACATGGTGTCACCTCTCAGTTTGTTCTTGGAGTTTCTGAGTGAAGGGTGGTGTCTAGGTCGCTGATAGGCTTCGTCTGAGGAGCTCAAGTCTCCATCTAGATCTGACAAATCATCACACTTAATACACCATACAGTTTGTAATAGAACGTCAATGAATCTCAAATCCTGCTCCAAGCATACATTAGAAAGAGTTACAGATAAAACAAAAACATAGCCAAGCAACTGAGAAAATGTTTAATTTACATACTATAATAATTTGTGCGCAAGCAAAAGACTAAATTTCAGAAATAACTTAAAGCAGTAACCAAAGTAGCACATGCGTTACCTCTCATTTAATCAAACTTTCAAAGGACAATTTGGGATTATACTCCTCCTGCATCACCTAGTAATGCCATTGCCAATGTTTTTGGTATAATTTTAGGTTCCTCCACAATGTATCGTTGCAACAAACGGATACTTTGTGGTAATGGTAGGTGCAGTTGCTGAGTGGGTTCGATGACTGACTATGTGTGCTGGGGATGAAGTGCTTGACTCTGAGAGTGAGGGGTTGATTCTGGAATCTGTTCTTTACTAAGAAAGTGTAATACCAAATGTAACACGTTACACCCAGTGTTCCTACAGCAGTAGGGTATTGGAAATAACAGGCATTGTCCTTCATACACCATCCTTCCTATCTAAATTATATCACCATGATCTGTAATGAAATTATTTTACTTTAAAAATGATTCAAATCTTATCCTTTTTAATTGTAGTGAAATTATATTATTTCCATTTTAGATACTTCCTTTCTGAGAAATCCAAGCCTTAAAATGAGATAGGACTCGCACTGAGTATCAAGATAAATAAAGAATGAAGTCAGGAGGACCTTGCCCCAACCCTTCTGTTAATTGTTAATGATTTAAGGGTCCCTAGCTTTAAATACACCCGACTAAGGCCTCAAGGACCAAGAATGCCCTGAATTTCAAACACTGCTTATGCTGCCATTATAACAACACAACATAATGATGTGACCATCGTCAGCTCACCTGGCTCTGACCGTAGAGTCGATATAGGCATGACATGGTTCTCGATCAAACTGACTATCTTCATGTGGCCGTTGATGAGAGCTAAGGATCTCGCCATGTCACCATTAAATGCACGTGCATTCACATCAACACCCTGTAGAGAAAGCCAGACACTGAATATAACAAATGAAGGCAACAGTTCACTCCCAGAGAGATAGGGATCTACTTACAAATCATCCTCTTGGAAACAGTGAGTGAGCATGGTTTTACACCATTTTTAGCAATATTCGAGCAATATCATGGCGGGGGACACCAGAAATGGCCTTCAAACTATGTTACCATTGTGGGGAATCGAACCCAGGTCTTCGGGGTGACGAGCGAACACTTTAACCACGAGGGTACCCCAACGCCCACTCTTGCGAACAAGAATGGGAAAAAGTATTAGCTTCACGGGTCAAGTGGTTTGTTAGGAGATGATTGAGTTCTGCGCCACTACACATTTCAATAAAGGCACGGGTTCAAACCATCTACTACTACAAGTAGCATCACAATGCAAGAAAAATTAAAGACTCTTCAAAACACGTTAGCCATTCTTGAAGGCTTTTATTAAAATTTAAATCAGTAAAAGCCTGTTCAAAAATACTTGAAGATATTATGTCATTTAACCACACTTGACTCTGAAGTGCAATGTCTAGATGAGCTACTATAGAATCTAAATATGATACTAAATTACACTTCTGTTGCTTTGAACTAAAACCTTTGTGGGTTGTGGGTTAGCACCAATCTTCAGCGAACACACTGTACACAAAACTGTCTAGTGAGAACACTGTACAATGATTAACATTACCGGTATGTAAGAATACTGCACAGACTCACATTATGTAGAAAACACTGTACAATGATTAACATTACCGGTATGTAAGAATACTGCACTGACTCACATTATGTAGAAAACACTGTACAATGCTTAACATAACTGTACGGTATGTAAGAATACTGCACAGACTCACATTATGTAGAAAACACTGTACAATGATTAACATTACCGGTATGTAAGAATACTGCACAGACTCACATTATGTAGAAAACACTGTACAATGATTAACATAACCGGTATGTAAGAATACTGCACAGACTCACATTATGTAGAAAACACTGTACAATGATTAACATTACCGGTATGTAAGAATACTGCACAGACTCACATTATGTAGAAAACACTGTACAATGATTAACATTACCGGTATGTAAGAATACTGCACAGACTCACATTATGTAGAAAACACTGTACAATGATTAACATAACCGGTATGTAAGAAATACTGCACAGAATCACATTATGTAGAAAACACTGTATAACGTTTAACATTACCGGTATGTAAGAAATACTGCACAGACTCACATTATGTAGAAAACACTGTACAATGATTAACATTACCGGTATGTAAGACTGACCGACTGAGTTTGGTTTTACACCACTTTTAGCAATATTCCAGCAACATCACGGCGGGGGACACCAGAAATGGGCTTCATACATTGTACCAATGTGGGGATTCGAACCCGGGTCTTCGGCGTCACGAGCCAACGCTTTAACCATTACGCTACCCCACCGCCCCTCGGTATGTAAGAAATACTGCACAGACTCACATTATGTAGAAAATACTGTACAATGATCTCATGCCCCTCTGCTGCAGCCTCCAGGAATGGTGTCTTACCAGAGCTGGGTTCTCTGAAAATACAGACGACCCCATTAAAGTGCTCCTAACACATCTACTCAACTGAGACATAAAACAAACAGGTTAGTTCCATGGTAACACAACATGAAATGACAACAGAAAATGAGGCAAATATTTAACATAATACCTTCTTACCAATCTCAATCTGTTAGTGGTGAAGTCCTAAGAGATAAGTAAGTTGTGGTTCATTCTAGCTCAGTTATCTGGCATTGTTTTTTGGCCTAACGTGTTTTGTACACAGGATGGGTGCATTCTGAGGTATTAAGAGAAGCACCAGACTCTAATTCAATAGATCACTGTGGAACCAACTCGATCAGGTGTGAACACTGCAAGGGTGATTAAAATGTTTTGTAAAATTCCCAAGCGTGATGGTTACTGCCAGTCATAAAAAAAATGTAATTTTCTGACTAAAATTTATATTTTATACTTATCCTGACTCATGCTAAATGTTTGTCTCCTTCTTCTTGCGAATGATAGTGGAACACTTGAAATCCCTTGAAGTTCCCTTCTAAAAAAGCGTAAAAGCATCACTCACCCACGAGTGGCCTCCTTTTTGCCACATGACCAGCAATGTTTTGTCACTCTCTCCGTATGAATGCCTGACACCCAGATGATTCTGTTCTTTCAACTTCCTCTGATGAGTCTGGGGGGAACCACAACTACAGCCCGTTTGAGTCAGAAACGGACCGATGAATTGCAAAATTTTATCATTGTACAAAATTGCCACATAAATATAAATAGTACACATGTTTATCATTTACTAATACCCAACAGCTTTCTTATATTTGAAAATTTTCCGGACTCCACCAAAAAAGTTGTTTAAGAAACTATCATCATTGAAAACGCAAAAAGTTGTTATCTGTCGTGGCGGGGTGAAACCGCAGAAACGGAACAGCCAGTCATGGCGGGGGACATCTCAACGACTTAAAGGGATGACAAGTGGTGCCACAGTTGCCTGTTGTAAGCCATCCCGAGACCAGTAACCTTGTTCAATGACGTTAGCTAGCTTGTTGACACAGTTTTGCCAAGTTTCAGTCGTGATTTTGTTAAGGGATTCCTTAACCAAAACCTTTACGTCACGTAAAGTTGTGTTTGATCTGGCAACATCTCCTTTGACAATACCCCATATCATTTCAATGGGGTTAAGGTCACGATGATAGGGTGGAAGTCGCAGAATATCGTGACCCTTACTTTTTATGTAACTGTCAACTTTGTAGAAAGGATCACCTTTGTGGGTTTTTATGATCTCATATAGCTGAGGCTTCGTTGCCTTTGAAGGCCGTGCGATCTGAAATTTGTCGAGCCATGATATCATATCACCTTTTCGACTTTTCGATGTCGGGGCTTTACTGTCGGGGTCCTGCACGCTGTGGTATGGGGCATTGTCCATTACGATAAAAGACTTCTCTGGTAGAGCTGGTACCAACTTGTTTTTAACCCAATCGAGCAAAACCCAACATTCATCTCGGAATGGTAGTCTCTGTTATCTGTGGACTTTGCCCTGAATACCAAGTCGCAGCCTGGGAGAAAGCCTTTACTGGAGCAACCAGCATGGAGAATAATTAGTCTCTCTCCTTTCCCTAGAGGCAGCTTTCTACGTGACCCCTTATCACCCCCATCGGGTACCCACTGACTGCTGGCAGTGTACAAGGCATTGACCCAGGTCTCATCCAAGTACCGTACACTGGCTTGAACCCTTCCTCGCGCTTCTTCTTTATAACCCTGAGAAAATTATTTCTCACTTAAGCGATATCAGGGCGTTCACAGAGTACTTACCTATTCTCCCCCAAAATTTTCTTATAACGATACCCGAAAGAGTGTTGAGTCACCAGAGTGTGTACTTTGATACTCTGAGGTTGTGTTCTTGCTTCAAATGCTTTTTTAAAATTTTCAGCGACATGTATTTGTTTTCAGAATAGAACTTGTTGATAGACTGCCTTACAAGGTTCTTTTGAAAGTTGTCCAAATGTTTTAATTTGTGTGATTTTGACACGACCCCTACCTGCTTCGCATCACACTCACACTGTTTGTGTTCCAGAACATTTGTCAGTACCCTTGCTGATACTCCTAAAGCTTTTGCTGCCCGCTCACGGAATTTATTAATGGCATAAAATGGTTTGGCCCTTTCGGCTTCAGCATGGAAAAAATCGTACACACTTTAATCATCACCTGTTTCACGTCAGCATTCAACTTCATTTTTCATCAGGCATGTGTATCCCGTGCACGACGAGATAGTGGCTGTTTCGTTTCTGCGGTTTCACCCCGCCGCGACAGATAACAACTTTTGCGTTTTGAATGATGATAGTTTCTTAAACAACTTTTTTGGTGGAGTCCAGAAAATTTTCAAATATAAGAAAGCTGTTGGGTATTAGTATATGATAAACATGTGTACTATTTATATTTATGTGGCAATTTAGTACAATGATAAAATTTTGCAATTCATCGGTCCGTTTCTGACTCAAACGAACTGTAGTCAGATTTCTTCCAAAACTTCTCCTGACATTTTCGTGTGGATTTTAGATATACTAATGTTCCATTAGTTATCTATTGCAACTCCATCTCTTGATGCGCACAACAAGTGGAGATGTGACCCTTCTTCACGTACGAGTATGTCCTATACAAGTACAGGGTTTATCACTCATGCTAGCCTGTCCTAGACGTGTGTATGGACTTTAACCATTTGCTCTCCGGAGCGTTGGTTTTCACAAGTCACGTGATTGTTGTAATCGAGCAGTTTCCATGCAGAGCAAGTGTAGACGCCAAGGCTCTGACTTCGAGGGGATTGGAAGCTCGTGGAGTCCACGCTGCTTTGTAGGCCCTTAGTATAACGGCTTTCATCCATATCGATATCGTTGTTCGTGAGACTTCCGTGGGTGTCTCAGTGGATAAGGGGATGAATAGGCGCTTGAATATTCGTCTCCTTGTTTTTGTCCTTTGTAGGTAGACTTTTAGTGCTCTGACAGGGCATAAGGATAGATCCTGTGTATCCTGTGGCCCAAGGACTGTAGAGAGTGCAGGGATGTGGAACTGTCTGTCAGGCTGGCCAGGCAGTTGGTTCTTGGCAATAAAGTCCCATCTCAGTCCTAGATGTACGATGTCACGATGTCTTGATTCAAATCGTATTCGTTCAAAGTCCAGAGCATGTATTTCTGACATCCGTGCTGCTGTTGCTAGGGCGATGAGGAACAGTGTTTTCTGTTTCAGTAGTTCAAAGGATGTCCGTTCTAGAGGCTCGTAGGTGTCACTGGTGAGATGTTGTAGAAGTATATATATACTAGAACTACGTTGAGATCCCAGGCAGGAGCCTTGAATTTCTTTTGTTGGTCTTGCAACTTGAACGAGCGTAGTAGTGCCAGTATCTCTGGTACTTTGGTCAGCTTGACACCTGTCTTCATGGTGATAACTGTGCTGAGAGCTCCTGGAATGTGGCATGCCTTCATGTAGATGTTCAGGTCATCGACGATGCTGAACAGGAGAAAGCTGTGTTTTAGCAGACTTGTTGACCTTGTTGATCCTTGTTTGTTGATGTAGCACGCAACTGTGGAGTTGTCCGTGTGGACCGTGAGTCTTGTGAGCACCATTGTTCTTTAGTACGCTGGACCAGTGTTGTAAAGCGTTGATCACTGCTTTCATCTCCAACAGCTTGATGTGCAGACTCTGATCCTGACTCGACCACTTCCCCTGCTGCCACTTCATTGTCAAGGTGAGCACCCCATCCTTGTAGCGATGCATCCACGTAGAGATGAGTGTTGCAAACCGGCTCTTACATAAAGGTTCCTCCACAAACATTCGACTTCCAAGTCCACCATAAGAGGTATGGTTTCAGGCTGTCCGATAGTACCAGTTGATCCAGACTGTCGAGATGGGCGTTCACAAATATTTGTAGTGGGCGCAGTTGTAATCTCCCTCTGCGAGTCATGTCTTTGCCAAGCACGTAGTGTCAACGAAGAGAGCATTGCTTGAGATATCATATGTTGAATCTTGACCAAACGATCCTCTGGGACGACTATGCGATTCACCAGCGTGATGAGTCGTATTCCTAGAAATTAAAGATCCTGTTTCAGCTCCAGTTCCTACTTGAGGAGATTTACCAGCCATCCTAACTGATCCAGAAGCCTGATGGTGAAGTCTAGTTGCAGTCTGAGTTGACCCGGATCTTGATGAACTTGAAATCTGTCGTCCAGGTAAAAAAGCACTGCCTAGACCTCGACGATGTTGATATGTGACGATGGGCTTGGTCACTTGAGTAAACAACCAGGGGGCCGACGATTTTCCAAACGGTAGAACCTTCCACTGGAAGTGATAAGGAATCTTAGGTATTTCCTTGAGTCTGGATGTATCGGGATGTGTAGGTATGCATCTTGTAGATCTATGCTGGCGAGGTAGTCTGCTGGACGAACGAGATGTCGGAGCTGAGGAAGATGTATCATCTTGAATTTTGCTGGTCTGCAGAGATACTCCTGGTTGAACTTCCTCATGTTGTAGATGAGCCCGAAACTTCTCCTTGGAATTCTTCTTCGGTACAAGGAAAATTGGGGAGTAAAAACCGGGCGTGATGAGATCTTGATTTATCTCTTCTACTGCATCTTTGTTGAGTTGAGTCTTGATTGCGTCATCCAGTTTCTCTGAAGGCCAGCGGGTTGCTTGTAAGCAGCGGGGTGGCTTACAACTGTCTCTTGTATCCTCTGCACAGTATCTGGGATATGTAGTCGACCTGTAGTATTCCTCAATTCTCCCAGTGCCTTTGAAGACGTCCACCCACAGTCGAAGGTTGTACAGGAACGGCTGGGGGTGGAAGACGCCAGTCGTTCCAAACCTGTCCTTCAGCGCGCTTTCCCTGGCACCTCTTCCTCCTCTTGAGCTGGAATACGTCTTTTCTCTGGCTCTCTGGACTCCTGCAAACTTGGATTTGTTGGAGTAGCTCTGGGACGTCTGGCGAATCACATTTGCCAAGGTATCTATGGACTTTATCATCATGACCTCCCTTAATTCGTGTGTAACCTCTTTGGCGACTTCTTCAATTCTTCCTCCGAAGATTGATGATGCTGACCATGGGGCTCTGTATAAGGACTTGGTGAACCGCTCACTCCAGGTGAACAATGACAATAATCCTTGTCTCCTCAGGAGAGTCAGGCCTGCTGATGTGGATGCTAGATGTTCCGACATAAGTCTGGAATTATGAACATCGGCAGCAGTAGTTAACACACAGTTATCAACGCAATCACTCGTTTTAGACATGACTTGTGAATACCGTCTTACCCAGTCCTTTGCACGTCTATGAATGGAAAAAAGGTAGTTATTGAATTCAAAAGTGGTTAAATTCAGACAATGCTTACAGCGAGACCTGAAAGAACATGAAGTAGTGCAATTAGGACATAATAAATGTGGGTCAGCCGCAGACAACCGGTTCCTAAAACGAATACAAGTTTTCATCAAATGTAAGCACGATGAAAAAACATGTCAAACAACGTATAATTTAGATCAAATTTCAAACCATATAGTAGAATACAATCCTAAAAGCCGTATACAGCAATAATTTTGATGTAAAGGTCCTAAATAGAAAAGGATATGTGCCGTATAGGGACCCAGGTGCTCTCACAACCGTCCTCAAGGGCGAAGAAGGAGAGAGTGACAAAACATGGCTGGTCATGGGACGAAACGGGAGCCAAAGGGGCAAGGGAGGCCACTCGTGGGTGAGTGATGATTTTACGTACGCTTTTTAAGAAGGGAACTTCAAGGGATTTCAAGTGTTCCACTATCATTCGCAAGAAGAAGTAGAGAAGCATTTAGCATGAGTCAGGATAAGGAAAAATAACATCTTCATTGCTTGTTCCAAAGAGATTACAAAGGAAGATACTCACACAGCACTCATGTTGGCCCCCTGTTCCAGGAGGAAGAGGACAAAGTTCTGGTGGCCGGCATATGTAGCATGGAACAAAGCTGTCCATCCTTTCTTGTCCCACTCTTCTAGCTCTGCTCCATTCTGTTGGCAACATCACATTCTTATACATAAATTTGCACCCTGCAGAGAGTTCACAAAGTCCTGCCAACAATTGGTATGCATCCTTCAGACAGTCCTGCCAAAACATGCACATTCCCTGAAGCGACTTCTGCCAACAGATAGTTTCTGCCAACAAATGCTCAACTAACTACCCTGCTAAGAGTCTTGCCTAGAGATAGTTTGTACCCAGTTTGTACCCAGCAGACGGTTCAGCACATTCCCTGAAGCGACTTCTGCCAACAAATGCTAACTACCCTGCTAAGAGTCTTGCCTAGAGATAGTTTGTACCCAGTTTGTACCCAGCAGACGGTTCAGCACATTCCCTGAAGCGACTTCTGCCAACAAATGCTAACTACCCTGCTAAGAGTCTTGCCTAGAGATAGTTTGTACCCAGTTTGTACCCAGCAGACGGTTCAGTACATTCCCTGAAGCAACTTCTGCCAACAAATGCTAACTACCCTGCTAAGAGTCTTGCCTAGAGATAGTTTGTACCCAGTTTGTACCCAGCAGACGGTTCAGCACATTCCCTGAAGCGACTTCTGCCAACAAATGCTAACTACCCTGCTAACAGTCTTGCCTAGAGATAGTTTGTACCCAGTTTGTACCCAGCAGACGGTTCAGTACATCCCCTGAAGCGACTTCTGCCAACAAATGCTACCTACCCTGTTAAGAGTCTTGCCTAGAGATAGTTTGTACCCAGCAGACAGTGTAACGGTCTGTCGTTGGACGAAGCTTCTATACCATGATCATAGATCACAACACAGCTTGGTGTCCAATAGTTTCTTTACTGAGACCTATTGTGGCCTCGTAAAGACATTAAGGATTTGAAAAACATCGCAAATCGCACATGTCAATTTGAAATAAAATCGCAAGGAGAATCACACATATCCTGAGGTCACAACTGGCACAGCACCAAATCGCATCAAATATGCCATGTGCTCCCTTTTCACTTCCGCCCAAAGGAAACGCAACTCGCGCAAGTGCACAACCGTATACTGCCGATAATTTACCTACATTTACAGACAGTTCAGTCCATTCCCTGAAGCAACTTCTGCCAACAAATCCTATGTACCCTGCAGGGAGTTCTGCCAACAAATGCTACGTACCCTGGAGGGAGCTCTGCCAACAAAAGCTACATACCCTGGAGGGAGTTCTGCCAACAAATGCTACGTACCCTGCAGGTAGTTCTGCCAACAAATGCTACGTACCATGCAGGGAGTTCTGCCAACAAATGCTACATACCCTGGAGGGAGTTCTGCCAACAAAAGCTACGTACCATGCAGGGAGTTCTGCCAACAAAAGCTACGAACTCTGCAGGGAGTTCTACCAACAAATGCTACGTACCCTGCAGGGAGTTCTGCCAACAAATGCTACATACCCTGCAGGGAGTTCTGCCAACAAATGCTACGTACCCTGCAGGGAGTTCTGCCAACAAATGCTACGTACCCTGCAGGTAGTTCTGCCAACAAATGCTACGTACCATGCAGGGAGTTCTGCCAACAAATGCTACATACCCTGGAGGGAGTTCTGCCAACAAAGCTTCACGTACCATGCAGGAGTTCTGCCAACAAAGCTCACGAACTCTGCAGGGAGTTCTGCCAACAAATGCTCACGTATAACGCACTCTGCAGGTAGTTCTGCCAACAAATGCTACGCACCATGCAGGAGTTCTGCCAACAAATGCTACATACCCTGGAGGGAGTTCTGCCAACAAAAGCTACGCATCATGCAGGAGTTCTGCCAACAAAAGCTACTTAACTCTGCAGGAGTTCTGCCAACAAATGCTACGCACTCTGCAGGGAGTTCTGCCAACAAATGCTACAATGCAGGGAGTTCTACATACCCTGCAGGGAGTTCTGCCAACAAATGCTACATATGGGAGTTCTGCCAACAAATGCTACGTACCCTGCAGGGAGTTCTGCCAACAAATGCTACATACCCTGCAGGGAGTTCTGCCAACAAATGCTACGTACCCTGCAGGGAGTTCTGCCAACAAATGCTACGTACCATGCAGGGAGTTCTGCCAACAAATGCTACATACCCTGCAGAGAGTCCTGCCAACAAACGCTACATACCCTGCAGGGAGTTCTGCCAACAAACGCTACATACCCTGCAGAGAGTCCTGCCCACAGTCTCATTCCCACAGCTGGCAGCCAGCATCAGCGGTGTCTGTCCCTTGTGGTTCTTGACATTCACATCACACCCTGAGTCTATCAGCAAGTTGACGATGTTGTCATGGCCGATGTAGCACGCATACATTAGTGGAGTCCAGCTCCCTCTGTTCTTCTTATCAATCTCCACATCTCCCCTTAAAGTGCACAGAAAGAAAGTGACCATGTTAACATTCATGCAAAACTCCAAATTACATATAAATGTATTAATCTATTCAAAAAAGTCTTTACTTATCTTGACTCATACTAATTGCTTATCTCTTCATTCCTCCAAAATGTAATTGCAATTTGCTGTGCTGTTTATCTGGAAATATGATGGTTGAATAAAAAGCTTCTTCGAATCTATGCATGACATATTGTGCCATTATGCTAATCCTCTACAAAGATGGTAATAACACAGAAATTAAAAATGCACCAAGAAATACGTGACAAGTGACATGGCACAAAGATAATAGTATCAAAATGATAATGTCCTGACTACTCTTATTGTATATCTTGGAATTGCAGACCCATGAAGGTCCGGGTTAGAATATTGATCTTCAGTAACCCATGCTTGTCGTAAGAGGCAACTAACGGGATCGGGTGGTCAGGCTCGCTGACTTGGTTGACACATGTCATCGGCTCCCAGTTGCACAGATCGATGCTCATGCTGTTGATCACTGAATTGTCTGGACCAGATTCAAATATTTACAGACCACCGCCATATAGCTGGAATATTGCTGAGGGCGTCGTAAAACCAAACTCACTCACTGGAATTGTAGTGATCAACATTTAAGACATGCATATAACGTTAAAGAAAACATTAGGCTTCATCAGAAGAGTTTAGTGCCATTTTGAACAGTATTCCAGTGATATCAGTGTGTTAGCTTGATGACGGAGCAAAACCTGGAGAAATGCAGGTGTTAGGATGTACCACATTAGTGAAACCCAGGAGCATAGGAATGATGCTAAGAACAGTTTTTCATAAGCAGGGAAAACTGGGATTTGAAACCACAATAAATTTACATGGCATGCCCCTTCACAGAGCCAATTACAATACTTCGGATTCTTATCCCTAATGCCTCTGGTTGTACTTTGTACTGTGTGTGACATGTCATACATTGGCATACCTGATAATGAGAGACCTGACATAGTCATAGTGCCCAATGCTGCAGGCTGTGTAGATGTCATGTGGCACCGGCGTGAACACCTCCTTCTCCACCACTCCCCATCCCTTCCAGAACGACAGACTCTTGTCCAGAAGCTCACTCTCTGATGCCTCATCAGATGCTTCATATGCTTCATACGCCTCTGCAGATGTCATGTCTCATGTGCCTGTAACCATAATTAAAAGGAACTTTAGTTCCTATAACTCATATACATCATGTTCATATAGGTTTGGCCTCATATTGTCTGTCAGTATTAGTGAACTGAATAACATTAATAACAAACAGATTATACTTATTAAACATGGGGATGTATCAAATATTCCAAACTAGTCAAAAGACTCAAATAAACCGATTGAACAAATAATCGGCCATGACATCCTTAGTCCCCAGACACTGGATGTTGAATAACCAGTCAGGCAGTAGTCACATCAATCTGCTTTATAAGCTAAGATTTTAGCCGACATAGGATTCATTTATTAAATCTATCACTTTCCACAATTATACTGATATTACTGTCGGTAATGTAAAGCTATCCTTTTTAGAGTAAAAATAGTATTCTCAGTATTTATAGGTCAGGATAAATATTCTGACTCTGACTCTCCTCATTCCCTTAAACTATATTACAATATTTTGTGCTGTATTCCTCAAGAAACAAAATCCAAATACACTGTGCAGGCACACAGCAGCCATATGATCATCTGGCTGACTTTCTTTTTTCCCCCTGCTTAACAGCCTGAAAACACAACAGGGAGGGCAGAAGTGTTGGGAGTGTACTTTAGCACATGAGTTCGGATGGGTATAAAATAATAGTTTTACTCTACAAAAAAGTAATTTTTTAAGCAAAATTGATATTTTATACTTATCCTGACTCATGATATTTTGCTTATTTCCTTCTTCTATGCGATTGTTAGTGGAACACTTGAATCCCTTGTAGTTCCCTAAAGAGGACGTAAAAGTTCTCTCACCCATGAGTTGCCTCCCCTTTCCCGCTCAAACAGTCACGTGACCTGCCATGCTTGTCACTCTCTCCTGAATAAGCCCATGCACCTGGGTTTGCTGGGAAACCCGAAGTGTCTTCTGCGGGGAGGTTGGGAGGGCTTGACCTCCTGAGTCAGGATAAGTATAAAATATCAATTTTACTTAAAAATTTACTTAATATTTTTCCTTATCCTGACTCATGATATTTTGCTTATAGAATCCAACGGATTGGTGGTGGGTCAAGCCACTTCGTGGTTTCATCAGCTATCCTTAGATACATCCTGTATCCCCATCGGAACTGCAGAATGGCACTTCCTAGATCCTATTCTTCCAACTTCCGTTATCAACTTGGGTGACGTGAGGTGAAATTGGGTTTTACGTCATGTTTGAGAATATTTCGCTCATATGACGCCGTGCATGCGTGTGTATGTGTATGTGCGGCTGCTTGTACTAGCCCAGACTTAAGCTGGTTTTATAGTGCTAGCCCACTGAGATACCATGCTGCAGTGAAGCATGAATACCCCACTCAGACACAGTATACAGACTCCCGAGCCGACCAGTCCTTGTTTTACCCATTAATGCCGAGCGCCTGGCAGGGACCAACAAGTACCATATATATTAACGTCTTTTGGTATGAGGCTATCAACTCAGGGGGACCACAATCTTGTTATACTTCTCTAAGACAAGTGAATCTTTTAGATTCATGTGGATTTTCAGATACACTAGTAACTTCTTCTTAATAGTTATTTATAAACAACCCATAGATTATGATAAGATCATTACCATAAATGAGTTGCGACCCATTAGCGTACAGGTAAGATCGTTACCTGTACAGAGTCTTAATCACTCATGCTAGTCTGGTGTAGATAGTGCGCATGGACTCTCAACCAAAACTCTCCAGAGTGAAGATTATCAACAAGTCAACGTGATAAAGGGTGAGATTTCCAACTCAGCGCGCATTTGTAGGACCGTCAGTTGTAGTGCTACAACAAGTGGCCCTTCCAACCCTACCACCAAGAGGACATGTCCGGTCCACCCAAGGGCTTTCTGTCCAGAGTGGTTTCACCCGGCTACTACTGCCCATCATGCTACTCAACCTGTGATGATCAACCTACCGACTGCACCAACACCAACGACACCTACCAGTCTCTCAGAACTTCTCATGTAGTCTACCAAGTTTACCAACATTTGATACTGATAATGAGAAGGATTTCAGACTATTGAAGATGTCATTTGAAAACCTCATTGACCGTCACCTTCATTTGAGTGAGAAATACAAGTATCAAATATTGATGGATCACCTTGGCAGTAATGCCAAGAAGCTACCCTGTGCCTCTGAGTCACGCCACGCCATATACCATAGCACTGAAAGCCCTAAATGAGAAGTATGGTCGTCCTCGCCAGCTGGTTTTAGGAGAATTAAACTCTATCTTTGTAAAATCCAGCGACCATGCTGCTCTCGACAACTTTGCCCTCTCGGTACAATCTCTTGTGGGCATGTTGACTTGTATTGAAGGCGAATCAAGTGTTGAATTGAAATATGGATCCCACGTACACAAATTATTGACAAAACTGCCCTTTCAATTACAAACGAGTTTCATTGAGTACTGTCTCAACCATGGTACTCTTACCCATGAAGCACAATCTACCTACACTTTGATACATCTGAACAATTGGCTCCAGGCCAAGTCCAGAGCTAGTCGCATTGCCCAGCAGGCTGTCAGCTCTGTGAAGTCTGATACTCGACAACCAAATCATCCTGTCTCTCTCAACACTGTAACTATGTCTTGCAAGACCTGAACCTGCTGTTCCTACAGGTGGAAAAACAACTTACAAGTCCTACTGTTCCTTCTGTAACAGCGAATATCATCACATCAGTTTCTGTAACAGTTTCAAGTGATCACATGGATAAGGGACAAAAAAAAGGTGTTGGAAGTGTGGGAGATCTCATTCACCTAATGACTGTAATCTGACTGACTGACCCTCTGAAAAATCACAGGACCCATAGAATAAAATTAAACTCATGTCAGATTGAACATTTCTTATAACTGGCATTGAAATTATTAACAAACATAAGATTTATAAACAGCAAACAAGTGTCACATGTCACATATAACAACTTCAGTCAACGGCCGTTTATGACGGAAGACTTTGGTTTCATGAAAAATAATTTTTAAAAAACCAAAAAAACAACTTCAGTCAAAGTCATTGTGAAATATACAGTCAGACACTGGGGCTGGTGGGTTTTAGACTTCTATCAGACTGTTGGCGAATCTGCCGGATTTGTCAGAGGGTCAGACGCTATTCGTGAACACTGCAGAGACAGTGTTATGACTGCCAGCGATGGAGAGCCAATCCTGAGGTTCCAAAGATGGCTGATCTACCTCCTGCAAGACTACGGCTCTTCATGCCTCCTCTCTATTCCACCAGAGTAGACTATTTTGGGCCAATATACATCAAAATTGGCTGCCGAAGAGAGAAACAGTTTGGAGTGATCTTCAAGTGTCTCACACCAGAGCCGTTCATCTGGATCTGCTGGAATCCATGGGCATGAATACATTCCTGATGGCTCTCCGTCGTTTCATCTCCCGAAAAGGTAAACCTCATGAAATCCTGTCTGACTGTGGAACGAACTTCAAAGGTGGTGAAAGGGAATTGTCTCAGGCATTCCAATCCATGAATCCAGTCCTAGCCGAGTGTCTCTCCAACCAGCAGATCAAATTCAAATTCAATCCACCATATCCTCCTCATTTTGGTGGTACATGGGAACGAGAGATCAGATCTGTGAAACATGGACTTTGTACTGTTGCAAGTCTTGAAGCAGTGCACAAGAACACTCTACAGACTGTGTTGGTTGAAGTTGAATACTGAACTGTAAACCCCTTGGCTATGTATCCAGTGATGTCTCCGATGTCAACCCTGTTACTCCCTTCTCACTGCTGACTGGGAGGCCAGATCCGTCCCTTCCCCCAAGTGGTCTACCCTGCAGAGCAGAGACTAGGGAAGAGCCGCTGGCGACACTGCCAGACTGTAGCTGATCAGTTCTGGAAGAAGTTTATCCAGTTCTACTTGCCCAGTCTGCAACTGAGAGCTAAGTGGTACAAAGATGGACTCGAACTCAAAGTTGGAGACCCTGTTCTGATCGCTGATAGCCAACGGGTCCGAGGACAGTGGCCTGTTGGAAGGATTGTTGAAGTCTGCCCTAGCCCTGATGCCAGAATCCGGTCTGCTGTCGTACGCGTATCTGGGGAAGACAAGTTCCACAGACCAGTGACCAAACTGGTACTGCTGCCAGAATTGCCATGATTGACTGTAATTTCTATGTGCAAATTTATTCGATAAATTTGGGGGCGCGGCTGTCCTAAAGTGTCAGGAAGTGTTCCAGAGTTTCAGGGATACTTTTAATTCCTATTTCGTTATAATGTTCCTTTTCCGTCTTTTATGTCCATTTACTAGTCCTATTTTTTATTGTTGTGATCCATGCCATTCCACTGAACCATGTGCTCCGATCTGCGATGAACCTTGTTGAGTTGTTTGATGTACTTTGTGGAAAAGTGATGTAATTAAACAGCTGTCAAACTGAATCAAATCGAATAGTGCCTTCTATTCAAGACAATCCTTTACATTCAAAGAATCAAACTGCATACTGGAAGTGGAAGCACATTTCTATGTCATGTGAAGCCCTCCTTCAAAATGTTTAACATTTTCCAAATTCACTAGAATGGCATTACCAATGACATTCTCATAAATATAAATGTCACTACAGTTGGGGTCTGAGGAGATTTTGTCCAGATTCTAATGACAGCAGGGATATTCCCAGAGGTGTAACTAGAAACAGTGTTAAAAATATGTCAAAAGCTTGAAAGGATCTTTCTCTAAGAAAGAAAAGGGTGGCCTCTCCAGGAAAGGAAGTGAAGAGCCCTGTTCAGAAAGGGACATTTGTCCAACATGTCAATTAATATGGTCACTGAAGTAGGAACTGAGATGGTAGTTGCATCTTGTGACATCAAAACATTATTTCCAGATACAATGATCCCGCACACATATTTTACTAACTCTATATTTTGTCTCCTTATCTTTTATTGTCAATAGGATTAAAGTTTACCATGCATTGTTTCAAAGTACACTTTACTTGCCTTATATAGCTATCAGCAGATCAGTCTCTGTTACAAGAATCCATGTCTCAGCTCAATTTTTCTTTGAACACAGTTCATGGGCCCCGTTCCTAAAGCAATCGTAGGGCTAAGATTATCGTAACTCCCATACTTTAACATAAGACTTACGACAGTCGTAGCGCTACGATCGCTTTCAGGAACGGGTCCCTGATCCCTCACACTTTACGACTGGTTAATGAATTACCTAACTGTCAGCATCGTCAGGTCAATCATTATAAGACATTATTATATATACATGATAACACTACTCTATTGGAACTGATTTTCAGTAATTCAAGCCTGTCCTAACAAGGCAACTAAGGGGATCAAATGGTCAGACTTATTGACTTGATTAACGTATATGTCATCGTATCCTAGTTGTGTAGATCATTGGTCGTGATGTCTGTCACTTGATTCTCACATCCTCACTCCATTATATATCTTACTGACTGCTGTCAGGCCAGTCTGGTCTCTGGTTTGTTATCAGCTGACAAGCTATTGGACATAACATAATATTGGCAAGCTTGACATATTTTATTATAAAAAAAAGTATGAAATTAAATTTGTTGAAATGTATTAAACAAAAGGTCGCTCGGCGAGTAACAGTATGTCCATCGACCTTCAAATTATTTTATACATTAATTTGTAAACTGTCATCGTTCATAAATCTGCAACTGTAACAATAATCATGATAAAGCAACGATATCCCTGAGATGGCAGCATTACTGATGAACAAAACCAATGATTACCTTAATTTCCCAAATGTCACAAATGAAAATCCGTATTAATGCCACATGCGAAAGCCTTAGAAGAATGGAACCACTAATGACAACATAGTGCCGAGCACCTATCGGCCATATTTACAACAAGTTGAATCTCGCGATAGATCCCGAGTATACATCGTAGAAACACTTTGAATGCAACTATTTCTAATTGTTGCCAAAAAGCGAGATCCTGGGAAGACTTTAGTTTATATATGTTTACTACCGGTAAGAGATATCAAATACGTATAACATTAAAAACATGTAATACATCTAAGACAAGAAGCACATTTTCATAGCATTATTTGTTTTCTACAAGGAATAGATATGATGGTTGTTGATAGGTATATAGTATAATTATTTCACGGCAACTACCGAAACTCACCGTATAATCCCGAGTCTATGACAAGCATCATGGCTGCAAAATATTTTGTGCTCGCTCAAACTTAGAGAGAACAGAAACTTAGCTTTAAGAAAGTATTAATTAATTTGTTTGTACAGGACGGACTCGGCTCTTAGGATGAGGATGACCAAAATCAAGGGTAAATTACACTCTATCTGCTTTTTTAATGTGTTGGTTTATTTGATTACCGGCGTTCCAAGATAGTTGACATAATTACCATGGAAGCAGGAGCATCTATAGCCGTTCAAGAGATGCAGTGCTTTCAAACTACTCGTTGTCGGGTTATATTATACAGCTGTGACATACTCTACAGTTGCACATAACCTTCTGGCGTCATGTATCTGTGCCCCTTGTAGGCAATTTGCCAAGTATTAGTATCGATCACCCACTGAACAAGCCTATGTTGAGTATACCAACCATGATTTTGCATTTCTGAAGTTAGATATTTTTTGCACTATGACCATTGCCGTCTAACCGATATGAAGGTAGGACCAATTTTCACTGGCTGTTGAATTTGAGATGATGAAGTTTAATACTTTTATAACTTTTATGTACCTTTTCTTTTCTGAAACTTGTTGAACTAGAATAAGAGGGAAAATAATATTTTGCCTCAGTTAGACGATAGTATGCTACCATTTGTGGTCAATTACTAACTTGCTATATTACATAGCAGATACTCAAGACCTGCCTTTCCCCAGAATTGTTTTTGTACTTTTAAAATAATAATCATATGTGTAAGCACTAAACATTTTTCAATTGAAATATTCTTTCTGCACCACGTTTTCACATGCCACACTTTGAGTGGAATCCAAGTGGGTATTATACAAAATAAAATTTAAAGTTTATATTTTTATTGAGCAGAATATTTATGAGGTGTATTTTTCAGGTTCAATGACTATGAACTCATCAGGGGAAGAGAGTGACTCTGAAGTGTCAGTGGCTGGAGCTGCAAGTGGAGGTCAGGAAATGAAAGGAACATCAACAGCCAAAGGACCTCAGCTGAAACCACAAATGGACTCCATATTTGCTGAAGTTGAAAAAAGCCTTCCATCAATAGATTTTGATCTGTCGGATGTAAGAGGAAAATTGATGTTATTCTTTTCACAGGCACTAGTACAATAATATTGGGGAGCACCTTTTGAATATAGGGCCTACCTTTAGAATTACAGCAGCACAAACTTTACAAATTCCATCACATACCTTATGACGTAATTTGTGAAACTTTGGTAGCAAACACAATGCTCTGTGATCAGCTCTCAAATAATCAAAAATTGGCAGTTTCAAATATTTGTAGGCCCTTGTGACCTTCAGTAAATTTTTTCCAACTGGAATCTTTCCCATATTTTTTTTCTTTATTAACGTTCGGGAATCATCCATAATCCATCACTTCCTGATATTTCAGCTCTTTGCACATAGGAATGTCAACCCCAGTATTTAACAAATAACAACGTCTCTCTGCACCATAGGCTTCGCTAATTGATTTTGTAGAAACAATGTGAAACTGTGTACAGTGGAGTCTATTTTGTTTTCATTGTTTTGACCTCAACAAAATGGGCTTGCAGATTTCATCCTGTAGATTTTAAAGCCTACAGCCGGCAGCAGGCCCTGATGGCCAATTGGCAAATTAAAGTATTGCGAACATTGTCTGATGTCAGGCTGTTGCTGGGTTATCGAGTGTACCTAATCTCCACTCAGTGTTCTGTCATCTCTGTACGCATTGTCATTGAGTAAGTCAAGTGCTGTAGGGAGTTTATGTGCTAACCATAGATGGCAGCAGCGCATTTTATTGCAAGCGCCAATTTATGAAAGTACTTCTATTTCAAATACATTTTATATAAATGAATTGTAAATGTGGACTAACATACATATATATTTTGTTCAGTTAGTAAATTGCACCATTACACAAGAATGGAGTTTATTTATGCAAATTTCATTTTTTGAAGCGGTAAGAATGGATTTCACTGGACACGTCAGCCATTTTCAAGGCAGCTTAGGTCAATCTATTTTAATTGTTAGTATTATTTGAAAGGGTTTAAGGCTAGGGACCTGAACCAATATGGTAGGTGGATGTCCAGTGTAATGCATTTATACTATTTGTTGTTGCTGTTTCTCCTTTCGCATTTCTAATGCTACTTTTTTTTTCACACAAATAACATTGAAATTACACAATGAAATGGTATAATTTGGGCTAATGGAAATTGTCCTGGAACTTGCACAGGATCATATTGTTAGCATGTCCAATTCATTGCGTGTTGGCGTACATGCATGCACACACATGCACATTCGCACACACAGACTAGCACAAACACTGAACAATTCTTAAACAACATTTCTATAGCCTGCATTTTGCTAGAATTGTCTAAAACATAAGGGACCGTTCATAATTTATGGCTAGGGGGTGATGATTATTTTTATGGAAAAGCATTTCACAATGTGAATGACCCTCCTAAAGTTTATGTACAAAGTACGTGATCCCCGCTGCATGTCATGTACAAATCATCATCAACCCCCACTAACCATAGATTTAATGAATGGTCCCTAATGTGGAATGTTTTTGGTTTTGCAGATAAGCTCAGATACTGATGAGCCAATTATATTCCACCGAAGTTTGAAAACATCTGACTATTTGTTTGATGATGATAAGGACCTTGACACAAGTCTCAGTGGTGAATCCTTAACAGATATGATGCAGCCAATGAAACAAGCAATTGACAACATACCAGAGTTACCTCCCCCTTATGACAATGACCTTGCACTGTTGAAACCAATGTTTGGTGAGGAATCCCAAACTGGCTCAGGGGGAAGTTGGGAGGCATTAGTGACAGACTATGAACAAGACACAGAAAATTCAAAGTGTCCTAAACCACAGATGCAGAATTGGATGGCACTGGAACAAGATATGTCCCAAAATGTGGCCTTTCCACCAACATATACAAACAGTGGAACATCAATGGATGATGATTTCATGGATAACAGACTAGTTGTTGAAGAGAATTATGAAGAAGGGGGAGACAACTCTCAAGCAGGTCTTTCCATAGTTGCTGACACAGAAGCAGCTGATATGAACCAGAAGAGCAAACAAGATAATGAGAAACAGAAGAGTAGAGCCATCGCATCAACGTTTGTGTCAGCCCGACCTCCAGTGTTGTCTCTTCAGGCTTTGGAGAATATTGATTTAGGTAATCAGAAGACCTTTCAGTTACCCACTCTTTGTCGTTCACCTTTCATATTGATAGTTTTCTTAAGTATTCAGTATATTTATACTCCCTTGAGTCCAATCTACTGAGCATTTCTATATTAATAAGTAGATACAAGAATGCAGTTTCAGCATGTTCAGGTGAATTTTAATTTTCTCCTGTTGTCGAAAGTGAGTGAGTGAGTTTAGTTTTACACCACACTCAGCAATATTCCAGCTATATGGTGGCGGTCTGTAAATAATCGAGTCTGGACCAGACAATCCAGTGATCAACAGCATGAGCATCAATCTGGGCAATTGGGATTGTCGAAAGCATGTACTGTGTACTGTCCATATAGATATGCTTATTTCAATTTCAATACGTGAGATCTCACTGTTTTTGTGCATTCTCCACAGCAGTAGATTTTATGAACATGCTTGCACTTGAGCTGTAAATAAGGATGTGTATAGATATTCGGGTATATTAAATAAACGGTTACATTTACTTAGTGATGCACATTGTAGTCATACTATTGTGTTTTTTAACATGTTCATATTTCATGTATATTGAAAGCAACTGATATGGTGTAATGGGTAATGGTGGTTTGTTCTGTGTATTTTATGAAAATGTGCTTCTTTTCTGGAGCACTTGGTAGAATCCATTGTCCTGCTGACACTCCATAGTGGACAGTTGGTGATACAGACAGGACTAAGGAAGCACATGTTGAAATTCCGTGATCAGAATATAGCAGCTGTTTATCATTCATATTGTGAAAGGGGAACTATTTAGAATTTGCTCATAAACTAAGCTGTAAATAGCAATCAGCTGTACATGCATGTTCTCTCAAGCAACCAGTGATTTACATAAAACATTGTCACATGATAATCTTCATAATAAGAATTTGGATGCAGTGGTGGGAAACGATTGTATCTGAAACAGTTGACTTATCAGGACTAATTTGTTTGAATGTCATCTTATTTAATTTTTTGTAGGCACTTTTACATTATGTATTTAGAATAACTGTAAACAAAACAAACAATTTGGTATTATTGATATTGACACATTGTTTGATTGATAGCCTAGTGCTTTAAGCATTTGCTCATCACACTGAAGACCCAGGTTCAATTCCCCACATGGGTACAATGTGTGAAGCCCATTACTGGTGTCCCCTGTTGTGATATTGCTGGAATATTGCTAAAAGCGGCGTAAAACTACACTCACTCATTCACTCACTTGATCCATAAAAAGCATCTGGTGATATGTCATTAAATACCAGACAAAACAGTGGAGATTCATGTGGATACCTGGAAACAGCACCTGGTTGCGTATAGATGTATTTGAAGCTGTCAGAAAACCTGTCATTTGTCAGATAATATAAATTCAGAAAATCTGATTTAGGGAGCTATTCATGCACAAAATAGGTATTTGACATGTGTCAGTGTAGCTGTGTAGTGACACTGTACTGACTGTAGCAGTCACTGACTCAATGCTTTGTGTAGATGTGTTGCTGGAGAGCTTGAATGAAGACAACCAGTATGGGCCCAGGACAACGTTAACAACTAACAACAGAGGAGGAGGGGACACAGCAGAACACCGAGGTAGGTCATCGCACACTGAATCCAAGGTAGGTGGTCACACCTGTATGCGCTGAAGCCAAGGTAGGTCATCACACCTGTGTACACTGAAGCCAAGGTAGGTCGTCACGCCTGTATGCGCTGAAGCCAAGGTAGGTCATCACACCTGTGTACACTGAAGCCAAGGTAGGTCGTCACGCCTGTATGCGCTGAAGCCAAGGTAGGTCATCACACCTGTGTACACTGAAGCCAAGGTAGATGTTCACACCTGTATGCCCTGAAGACAGGATAGGTGTCACACCTGACACTAAAGCTAGGTAGGTCGTCACACCTGTATGCGCTGAAGCCAAGGTAGGTCATCACACCTGTGTACACTGAAGCCAAGGTAGGTAGTCACACCTGTGTACACTGAAGCCAAGGTAGATGTTCACACCTGTATGCCCTGAAGACAGGATAGGTCGTCACACCGTACACTAAAGCTAAGGTAGGTCGTCACACCTGTATGAACTGAAGCCAAGGTAAATTTTGTTTAAGCTGAATGTAGTCATGTGTGTTGTACTATCACTGTGTCTGTCTGTTGCAGCCCCGCCCGAGGATCTGACCCTGATACAGAAGCTGGCTCAATTGTCTGTATCACAAGGGGGCTGTCATCTGTCAAGTATTGACCCCCGCACTGGGGCCATCAGGGAGGAGGACAACCGGAAGACGGCAGAGAAGGGTAGGGACAATTTACAGGGAACTTTACACAAGATGTGCCTGATATCTCGTATCAAGGAACACTTGTCTTTTGTTTATCATGTCCAATATGCCAAGATATTTGTGACATTTTAAAAGATCAGGTTATTTCTCATCCTGACCAAACACTTCATGCTTTGCTGTTTCCTCACGAACCTTGATCCAGTAACAGAACCAGAAACAGCGGTTCGGCCCCTGTCAGGGGTGGAAATAACTTTAAAATTGATAGTGTACTCCGGTACAGTGGCACATGTAAAGTCACTTGCCCTGACAATTTTCCCACTATACCGACCGTTTTCTTGCTGATTTTTTAAATAAACAACATAATTAACATTGGAAAGTCAACTGGACACCGGTACAGTGTGATATACAAATTTGCTTGCCCGACAGAAAAAAAACACTGGACTCGGACGTCGGGCAATGGGTTATTTCCACCCCTACCCTGCCCTTGATTACAAGTCAGGAACAGTCTTTAGAATACTACCCTTGTGCCTTAACACAAGGACCCATGTTGTTAGTGGGTGTTTGATTTGTGAGCAAATACAAATGTTGGTTTCATGGGCTGGGTGTTCCTAGGGGATGGGAATTGAACAAGGGGAGATAATTATTCAGATTGTCTCCCTTTGACCTCATGCATGACATGTTTCTCAATCACAGGAGAGATTATTTCTTCAACCAGATTTCTTAGTTTGGTTCTTATTGGACTCTTCTTCCTTTAAGAAATCAAGAAGACGACATCATGCATGGGAACAAATACCAGTGACCTTTCAAGGATGTTTCCCCCATCTTTAAATCCAGGTGAGTTTGAGATTGTTCTGTGTGTGTCGTCCCAGCATCTTTATGAAGTGACAAAATGAAACTGCAGATAACCCAACATTTGAGTTGAATGAAAACCACAGTCATTAAACATCAGCAACATTGTAAACACTGAATTGTTAATTTGTCCCTCTGCTCCAGCTCCTGCTCAGCCAAAGGTGGAACCAGACACAGTGTTTATTGATCTCCGCCACTTTGAGGAAAACCGCCAAAAGGAACAGAATAACATTGAACGTGTGCAGCAGATCCTGGGCATCCAGCATGACGGGTACATGTTCCCAGACCCCTACTGGCTGTGGTTGTATTTGCTTCAGGCATCCAGCAAATCTATTCAGCTGCCATTGCCTTTCATATCATCTAAGAACAGCGCCTTTGAGCAGCTGAGCTGGATATCGGCGCTATACAAATGTTAGTTAGCATGTATGTAAGAAGCTGTTTGCTCCTCAGGATTAATAATAAAAAGCAAGAGCCTGGTTTTGGTTTAAGACAACAGAGCATGATTACTGTGAAAATGGACTTAATATAAAAAGAACTAGAATGTTTTCCAGTTTGTAAACCACCAGATAATTCCAACGATTTGTTTATCAGTGTGAAACATTATGGAATGTAGCTGTTCATATCATAGATTGAGTTTGACAGTGTAGTGCATCTGTGAATTTTTTATGTTTATCAATGATGCCAGTCAGGGATCCTGAGTTAGAACTGGTAATCAGCAAGTTATGCTGGTCAGATTTACCAAAGGAGATTCCTGGTATGAGGGAATCAAAGGGATTGGATGGTCAGTTTTGGTGACTGGGATTGATGCCATGGTGATGTGGATGGTTGCTCATAATATTGATCACTGAATTGTCTGTCATGCAGCTGAGAGTGTTTACTGTTGCAGCTCGGACTCGAGTGACTCGGACGACGACATGGAGCAGTGGCAGACACAGAGACGTCAGATCAAGGACACGCTGATGTCAAGGGGCTTGACTACTCAACCTCTACCATCAAAACCTAAACCATTTCAGTCAGTTCATGTTTACATTTCAAACCTGTGTCCGTATTCCACTTTGATTGTCCATCTAGAATATGAAACATTGCTCTTTGATAATATTATAAAATTTGAAAACAATCTTCAAAACATTTTGAAGATTACAGTTGGCCAATGTTGCCTGAATTTTCTGTGCATAATAGCACTGCATTGTGAGTTCAAATCTGGGGCGCTTCCATTATATGTCTATGTCAGCACCATACATATGCTCCTGGGCTTCACCAAAGTGGCAAAAGTCTGACAGGTCATCAACAACTTGAATGTTGTTTTGTGCAGTGTGAAACCCAACACACTGTAGAACATTGTGGGTGACAGTCAGTCTGTGTCTGGAAAACTAAACCGTTGGGAAAAGTGAAATGATAATCAGAACTTGACCAATGAAGTTTTCAAACTGCTGAGTATGTTTTGTTAACAGAAACAGAAATATCAAACAGCCAAACAGAGTGATCAACCTGAGTGAGCGAGGGACAAATGTTCAGAAGATGACAGACAGCCAGGATGAAGACAAACAGAAGGCAGTTGATGATGAACAGAAGAAAGCACCACATGCAGCATCCGCAGAGAAGGAACGACAGATGGAAGCAGCAAGGTACAGAAGACATATTATCTTACCTTCATGTGAAATACTTTAATTTCATTGGTCAGTGTCGCTTTAACAAGTTTCCGTGTCACCCCTCCAAGGGGAGAACTGGAAAAATATTACCCGCTGCCATGCTAACCGCCAAACTCTCCACGGAGAAGCTGTATTGCTAACAATCGTACGACGTCGTAATGTAATGCACGCAGTGCACGGAGTTTGAAAACCGTTCGATTCACTGTGTTTGAGTTACCGGCTCGGGTGACACTGCTACAAAGAGGCGTACATCAGACCGTATTACCCTCGAGAGAAGCATACAACGTATAATGTTGTGGGGAGTAGCTTGTCCCAACAACCGGAACATTGAGGAGCGCAATGCATTGAAGGCTATTTGTTTTTACTTTTGTGTTCCTATTAGAAAGGGTTTCAGTGTATCAGTCAGACATGACCATCATGCAGTGATGTGTTACTTCACCTGAATTAAGCTGGCAATTTTCATAACCAGGAAACTGAGAGAGCAGCGAGAAAAGGAGCGAGAATCGCGGGTACGAATGGGGAAGAGAATTGAAGCTGTACGTCCAACTGCCTCTGTCAGTGGCCGCTACCCCTCTGCTGAAAACACTCCAGTCATATTTGACATTGTAAGTATGTTTGTTTATGTATGAACAATCACCTTAGCACTAAAATCGTGCGATGAAAGGACCCACATAGCATTCCCAACACAAGACATGGAGAGAAATACTATTTGGACTCTTTTGTTGTTACATTGCAGCTATAAACAATTTTCTACTGTCATTAGATCAGTTATCAAAACTATTATATGATAACCTTAATAATAATAATAATAATGTGTCCATTTATATAGCGCCAAACTCCACACTAGGTATGCTCATAGAGCTAACAATCAAGGCCATTATTACCCCGGATAACCCAAGCTGCCTGTTAGGCGCTAGAAGGTTATAGTCATATGACTTTTTTCCACCGGGTACCCATTTTCCTGCTGGGTGAACAGAGACAATTTTGAACAAACTCACTTGCCTAAGGTGAGACCACATGTGTCACATGTGCTTCGTTGTGGGGCAGGACTCAAGTCCTAGAAACTCTCAGGAGTCAAGCTGCCAAACACGGTCACCCATCCAAGGACTCTCCGAGCTCGACGCTGCTTAACTTCACCGATTTGTGACCCTTCATCAACAATACAACACTACTATAGAAAACATTGCTTTACTGTACTTTTCCCTATCTGTGACTGTATAATGTAGCATGTGGTCTGTAATAGATCACTCAGATTTATCTTCTTTGAAGGCTTCAAATATACAGATTGACCTGTTTTCGGTTTTTGAAAATGGCATCAAGTATACAGATGTATCTGGTTCAAGTTTAAAATTGATTTCAAAAAGAAAGATTTATATGATTTGTGAGTAATCGATGCATCAACGTATTCACAATTGCATGGTTTGTGTTTATTGGATGCATCATGACTGTACAGATTTACCTTTTTGTGTTTAAAGGATGCATCATATGAGCCCCCACCAAAGACCTTGCCTGGAGTTATCTCCCCTGACCAGGAGTGCGTGCTGTTGACTGTTAACTTGTCCAGCAATGGAGAAATAGTGCTGCATCGAAACAGGACAAACAAAAGTGTTGACACTGGTTAGTGTGTTGGATGGTAAATCATTGTGCATTGCTGTGTTGCGAGAGTTCTCATTGGCTTTGAAGGGGTCTTGAATCTGGCAGCCTTAATTCCAGTCATGAAAATACCTGTTTCGGTGTAATCTATCTTTGTCTCCACAGTTTTGGCTGAAGGCAGTTGAGATTCACATGTTGGTGAATACATTTAGGTTAAAAAAAAAACACATAGGTATTGCGACTTTCTTACAGATCAACATATTGTAAGAGGACACAGAGATGCTGGTCATTCAGGTTGAAGAACGCTAGGATGTGGGAACTTATTTTAGCAGTACGACTGCAGTAAGCTTATGTTAAAGTGTGGCTATTGTCATAGTGCTATGATTGCTTTGTGGAATGGTACCAAGGGCGAAAGGTTCGCTTCTGTCACACGAAGGATCATCAGGATTAATCTGAATCGTATGCTTTGAATCAGGGTTCATACAAAGCTTCACCCCCAAATTTGACATCTCCTTGAGGTCTTTCAGCCAAGTGATAACAGTATCTGAAAAGAGGAGATTTTTTATTCAACCCCAGGAAAAACTTTTTACTATGCCTATGGAGTATCTGATTTCAGGTTGTGGTCTGTCTGCCAGCTATACCACTCTACTGACCTGGCTGCTCTCCCTTGTCCCTGATGACTTCACATTTCTCCAGGGGGCAGCACAACCAAAAGACAATGCCATGTTTTTTGGCCCCTTCCATGTTGTGGGTCTACAGCAGATGTGGATGGACGAACAGCTCTGTCTTGCAATTGCTGTCTCTCCAGCTAAAGAGTTTGATGCCAAGTTTGTCCCTGTCAAATCTAAAAAATCAAAGGTAGGTGGTTGTGATTCAGAGCTAGTATGTTTTTATGCGATTTATTGGGAATTGTAAATTTTCTGTAGATGAATGGGTTTTTTCCTCCTGGCATATAATATGATTGATACAGTCAATAACTCATCTGTCCATGCGTCTGTCCGGCCATCCATCTGTCCATCCAACAGTCCATAATCATTCGTTTCCAGAGTATAACTAACAAAAAAGTTCAATATTTTCATAAGTATTATCCAAAGGATGAAGTGGTGCCTTTTACTACTAAGGAACTTTTCAAAGTTTGACTTTTCCTTGTTCCCATGGAAACAACTTACACTTAGCTGAAAAGGAGGTAGGTGTTGTTTCCAGAGCACAACTTGAAAACCGTTCAATGTCTTTCAACAAAACTTGACAGACATATCAAGCGGATCCTGAAGTGGTGATTTTGGGCAGTTGTATTTTTCTCAACCTACATGGAAATGATTTGGACTTAGCCTCAAAAGGGAGAAGATTGATTTGTCTCCGGGGCACCACTCAAAAGCTTCAAAGACTTTCCATCGCAGCCTGCTACAAGTAGTACCCAAGGGCTGAAGTGGTGCCTTTTGCTTTTTAGAAATTGCTATTAGGCATTTTTTAAATTTGTATTTTTTCCTTTGACTTTGATATTGGTGTGTAACTGACATAGAAGTACAAAGTTACGAATCCCAATTCCATGTTATTGCTTTGACAGTTCAATTACAACTCTTGTATGCGGATGGACAGATAAGATAGAAATTCTGTCCTCAAGTTTGACTTTAAGTAACTGTCAGATGATTTATTCTTTCAAATTGGTGGCGGCCGGACAATCTGTCATCTTCTGATGACTCTTGTTTACAGTTATTTACAAACTGTTGGACATGTAGTCAGTGAGCTGTGTGTGAGAGGGACACCCATGTCGAACTTTTGTGTGATAGCTCAGTGAGCAGCAGATTTGTACAAACCAACATATACTACAAATATCACTACTGAAGGGACTAGTGGAAGACATACAATATAAAGAATCATAAGGTTATACAAATGTTCCAATGCAAGTAACTTTTGTCTCCAGCAAAATGTCTCTGAAGTGTATGAAGAAAGGATGTTATGTTTGTCAGGTTCGAGATGAAGTGAAGGGAAGTTCCCCCTTCATGCAGCATGTCAGCAAGTTCCTGTCCACCAACACGCTCCACACTGTGTGTCCCTGGCTCCAAGCCTTTGTCTCAATGGACGTCACATGCGCCAATAAGGATGACCCAGAACTTTGCGCATCCTACACTTACCAACCACCTCTTCCCAATGTCACTACCAAACCTCTCTCCACGTACATTCACCTGAACCCAGATCAGAGAGCTGCTTGTAAAGTGTTTAATACTCCCGTAGGCTTCTTCTGGCAAACTGTTGACAGTGATGATGGACACTTTGAAGTTACTCTTCATGACACTGATGTGAACTATGAAACCCAAAACACGATGTCATTGATATACAAGAAGATATTCCGTGAGCCTGGTGCCCTCATGGGCATCTTGAACCGGGTCCTCCAGGAGGGCCTTGATCTCAGTGGAGTCCGACTCCTCTACCCTACTGCTGAATTGCTCAATTCAAAAGAATGTGTTAACAGTGAAAAACAGTCTGACCTTGACCTTCTAAATAATATAGGCCCTGTCCTTGCTATTGCATTACGTGGAACATTTGCTCGGTCAATCTGGTTGGACGCTGTAGGACCTTCAGATCCTGCTTTGGCAAGAAGGACTGACCCCATGTCCCTCTGTGCTCAGTTCGGTGGTGCTTCCAGAGATGAATGTCTCCTCTTCTGTCCACGAAATCAAGGCCGGGTCCACTCAGAGCTGACCCGTTGGTTCGGGGGCAGGGTTCCATCTGGAGGTGTCATTGAAGTGGGGACACCTTACACCAGGAAAGAACATCTCAGAAGTGGCAGCCCAAAAGGGAGGAAAGGAAAACGAGGATCTGCTGAACCAAAAGAAGCAAAGGAAGATCGAGATGAACTTTTGGCTCATCGGCCCCCTGCCACTTTGACAGCTACCCACAAGAGTGACATCTTCCTCATCCTTTCCCCCCTGGTGCCTCTTCGCAGCTATGGCCTCATCATGTCTACTTGTCAGAGAAGGGGCTATCAGATTCATGGGCTGCGCAGACTCAGGCTCACATCGAAGAGAGCAAGTGCTTTAGGTACATTGTTAACAAGTATCGTAACGACTTAACTTCACTTTGTGTACACACTGAAATCTCCTCACCAAAAGATTTCCTCAAAGGCATACTAGAATATATTTACATTTAGAGAGCTGTCGGATGCCTCAGCAACTATATTGTATATGAATCCCTTCTGATATCGACTAGTTTCATGGTTTGACAGGACATGTTACTTATGCATCTTTGAAGAGTGAAATGTTTTATAAGTCATTACTGACACATTAACTCTCAGAAATATATGACTGAAATAACAGGATCAATATCATACTGTTCTATAAATATTGAGTCTTAGGAGACACACAGATTCCTTGTACATATCACACACAGTGGAACTCCATCACTATACATACTTGCTGTTTCTTCTCAAGGTATTTCATCGGCAGAGGCACATGTCTTCTGTCCTGGAACCAACTCATCTGATGATGTTGCTGACACCAACCAAGGGAGACAACTGGAGGCTACAGCGCCCTCTACTGTGTTAGTGTTACAGAAGGACAACTCCTCACACAATGCTGCTAGTTTGATAGAGGCATTCATGATCCAGATGACACTTCAGGGAGTTCTAGGTGAGTCTAGTTTAACCCTTTCAACACCGCAGGCCGCTTAAGCGGCCACAACGTTATGAGTCCCCAGACACCGGAGGCCGATTAAGCAGCCAGGCAGTAGTCACGTCAAAATGAGACATAATTTTAGGAACCTACCTGACTTATGATTCATATATTAAATCTATCACATTTCACAATGTCTGAAAACACTTATTCAATTTCAATTTATCATATATTATCAGCAGAATTAAAATTATAAACTATTTTTCGCAATGTTATTGAAAACAACGATTCTCGGACACATGCTTGACATGGCGGGTCTACAATAACATTGTGAAAGAGCAAAGTAACGATGTTTCGAGGAATTCATTAAATAAATTGAATAAACTAATGAATAAAATCAACAACAACATTCATAAAAGTTGTCAAACGTACATATAAAATTATCATTCCATCTTTTTGGGCGATCATGTAATGCAAGTCAAGTCACTGACGAGTGACATCTCGGCTCTCGCCCGCCTCAATCTTCACGCTTCGGACCACGATGTTTAATGCGAAAATATATACATGAAGCATTTTGTCACAGGTCTTAACCTAGCACGATCACGTCCAATAAGTTCCATAATTTACGTGCAGGTAGCGATTTCTTGCTTAATATGTTCAGAATAGCATTATTTTACCCAAAACTTTTGTCTAAATCTGAAGGTTTTCGTTTCGAGGGCGGTATCCATTGCCGTAATATGATTGGCTGCCTTAGGTCACGTGTCTGATTTTGACCAATCACGACCCTTATAGCAGACTGTGGCGAAAAAGCATCATTAGAAACCAATCTTTATCCAATAAAATCGCTTCTTACAACTGTGAAAATACTCTTGGCAAGGGTAGAGTGATATTGTTGATGTTCAAAGCTTTCGAACGATGCCCGACATCAAGCGATTTCGCCTGCATGTTATGCATCTGAAGCTTCAACGGAGGTATTTTCCGTTGTTATGTCATGTTACCGAGCGGAAAGCCACAGATATCGGGAAATAGGCGACCATACATATTATTTAAGAAATCTTTTTATAATAATTTTCTGATGACGTAAAAATGAACATATAAAAGAAAAAGGCATGGGCATGTTATCACATGTCACAAATGGAAAAAAATCGCCATAGTTTTTGCTTCTTTCGTGGTTTATCTGGACGTTATAAATGTAAGCTTGCATTTTCATTCAAAAATACATTTATTTAAGTTGTAGTTGTATTATTTGAATAATATTATAAAAATTAACTTCATATTTATCAACAGTAGGATTAGATCTTTTAAATGGTGTATGGGTTGTAGTAGCAATAACGTTTTACAAGCTTATATTCTTTTTTATATATTCCTCCTTGGGGTACTTATAAGCATTTAAATGTCCATTTAAATTCCCTACGACAGTTGTAACAATATTTGAATAAAATATTTACAAAACAAAAACTACGTTTTGTCTTGTGAGACCACCCTTACAGGGCCTTCCGGCCCCCTACAGCCAAGAGCAGGTAACTCTAGACCGTAACCTCGTACCTCACTTTCCATGCTGTCGTTGTACCGACAAGACGTGGGTCCATACCAGAAGGTTTTTCCTTGCGACTAAGAGAGTTATGAGTGTTTCAGAAACAGCAACTGTATGTATGGTTCTCTTTTTTCCCGGCATGGCGGTGGAGGTGTTTTCTGAATTTTTCATTCATAATTTCTCGTTGTAACTTGGTACCTGTCGCGTCGGCTCGCTAGTGCGTGGCAAGATGGCGGACAGGTGCCTTAGCTAGCCTTCCTGTTCATTGGTTTCCCCTGTGGTTTTCAATGTTACAGGTGGTTTTAGTGATTTTTATTTGTATCTTTATGCGTGTAGAGGCGTATGTCTACTGCTCGCATTTTCTATATTAAGCTAAAAACCGTGAATTGTTAGTTCTGCTGCAGTATGTACTAGGTTGTCAACTGCATGCTACGTTGTCGCATTAGTTGTATTAAGCCCATCGTCTTTTTACATGTATTTGTATGTGGGTATAGGGTAGATTGCTGCACAGGTTTTTACTTGTTGCAGTTTAAACCCTGTACCGTGCCTTGCTGCAATTCCCGTCACGGGATACCCACGAGGTCTGCTTACGGCTGTTTAGTGCAGAAGGAACATGAGGAAGAGGGGTGTGCGGCATGTGCCAAAGTTCGCCCCAAACCATTGGCGAGGCGGATAGACTGCGCTGTTTTACGGCAACTTGCTTCGGGCGGGGTGATCTCTGGGCACAGGATCCCCGTCCAAGCGCTCCCATAGTAAAAAGGGGTCCCGCGGGGCCGCTTCCCCGCGGAGCCGGCTCCCAAGAAAGCTAAGGCGACCAAGGCGGCTTCGTCTTCACGCACTCATGCCCCTTCTGCATCTCCTACTGCTTCCGTCTCTGTACCCGCCACCCCCCCTCTTGATTCAGCACCTGTAAAAAGTGTTCCTGTTGATTCGTTAACCGTTTTCTTCCAGGAGCAGATGTCGTCAGTCAAGTCCCTGATTGATACGGCGTTAGCGGGGTTCCGTAAGGAGCTCAGCGCGCCGGTCGTCGGGGGCGGGGCTGACACATCTGGGGGGGTTGGCTGCGGCCCGAGCTCGGCTCGAGAACGAGCGCCTCCCGAGGCGGCTTGATCCTGGCCGGCCCTGGTGGCGGCATGCCCTCGGCGTCTGGTGGCGACCTGGCTTTATGCACTGGTCTGTCACAGGTGCCTGGTGCGGCGATACAGGGTTGCCCCTATCATTACCTGGTGTCCCGACTGGCGGTGCGCCCAGGCGCCGACCAGTTCGAGGGGATACCTCGGCCCGGCAGTCAGTCGGGGTTGCCGGAAGCCTGTTGCGGCAGGTTCCTCGGCGACTTCGGCGACCTGGCGAGTTCCTCCCGGCAGGCGATGTTTTCCCCTGGCTCCTCTTGACCTTATGAGTTTTTCTGGTCCTGCCTCTGGCGTCTCCTCGGCTCTCTCAGGAGTCTGAGATTATGGCGACCGAGGATTCTGCCGAGGTCGATATGGAGGAGGAGGAAGGGACGGTGGAATCGAGGGCGGGAGTGCCGTGCTCCTTTGCCTCGTCCCCTGCGGCAGGTTGAGGGAGAAAATCGCCGAAGTCCTGCCGCAGGTGGCTGTTCCGATCCGGCACCCGACCCGCAGAGTTTCGGCTCCCGGGGGAGGCGTTTGCACCCAACCAGGTCGCAGAGGCACGCTTGCGCATTCTCCCATCACTGGTCAGTGAGGTGGTGAATCCGCTCCTGGCTGGTACTCGATCGCGTTTTGATTTGCCTGAAGTCGGCCGGCGGTACCAGTTAGGTGCGGAGACGCTCTTCGAACCACCAGTGGTGGGACGAATCGTCTTTGCCTCAGTCGCGTTAGGAGGGTCGTCTTCGTCTTCCTGGCCTCGGCCAGGCAGGGCAGGCGTCTCCCCTTTTCGGCTAATGCGTCACTGCGGCTGAAGTCTGCCTACCGGTCATTCGAAGAATGTTGCGGTCGCGCCGCTCAACAACTTAAAGTAGCAGTCCATTCAGCCTACCTGTCGGCGTTGCAGGGACAGCTGGTGGCCCTGGCTGGCGGTGCCGATTCATCGAGTCGGTGCTTTCGCCCGGCAGTTAACGGACGATACTTTCGCATCTGGCTCGGGACAGCATTCGGTGCTGTGCCAGCCAGATGATGAGCCGTCATGGGCTGCGCCGCCTGTGGCTGTCTGTGGGCGGTATTCGCCGCCACACAGCAAGCTCTACTGTCATTGCCCTATACCATGGGATCTTCCCTGTTCCCTGGGGCCTTGCAGGTGATGCGGGAGGCAGCGGAGGCTGTCTCTACCTTTAAGGACTCAAAGCCTTTGTTGGAGCAGCCCTCCGGCTCCTCGCCATCGGCCCTCCCGGCTTGCGTCCGCTTACCCTTCTGCCTCGGCGAAGGATGTTAAGTGGGCTGCCCTTTGCAGTCCAAAGCGAGCAGGCCACGAGAGGCAGGGGCAAGCCTGCTCCAGCGCAGCAGTCTTTTGGGGCAAGGGGAAGCCAGCCCGGCTTCCCACTGATTCATTCCCCAGAGCCCTTGTTGCCCCACTCCGCATAGCGGAGACTTGCCGGCGGTGGGGTGCACTGCCTCTTGCCACCGTCCTGTCGGCGGCCGGCTGTCCCTATTCCTCCGGGAGTGGGAGGCAGCCACCTCAAATCCTGGGTCCTGTCCAAGCTCAGGGATGGCCATTTGCCACAGTGGAGGCGAGATCCTCCGTCCTTCTCGGGGTTCGACTGCGCCTGTGCCGACCCCCGCGACAAGCGGGCGTCCTCCGTGCCGAGGTTCAGTCTTTACTGACCAAGGCGGCCATCAGAGTGGTTCCTGTGAGTCAGCGAGAAGAGGGGTTTTATTCCACCTACTTCCTCGTGACCAAAAAGGACGGAGGGTTCAGACCCATTCTGAATCTCAGAGGGCTGAACAACTTACTGGAGGTGCCGTCTTTCAGGATGGAGACACTCAGGTCAGTGATCTCCTCCGTCGAGACAGGGGATTGGCTTCGTCAATCGATCTCAAAGACGCATACCTCCATGTTCCAATGCACCCGAATTCAAGAAGTACCTCGGTTCTCCTTCGGCGGGACGTGCTACCAGTTTCAGCGTGCTCCCCTTCGGCATCTCCACGGCGCCAAGGGTGTTCACCAAACTTATGCTAATCCCAGCTCAGTTAGCCAGGTCTCGGGGCAGGTGTTGTCACCCGTACCTGGACGATTGGCTTCTACGGGCCTTAGGGCCTCAGTTAAGCAGAGCCTCCACACTGTGCGTGCTGGATACTCTGGTGTCACTGGGCTGGATTATCAATCTCAAGAAATCAGAACTTCGTTCGGCGCAGGATCTGATATTCTTGGGAGCCAGATTCAACACGGCGCTAGGGATTGTTTCCCTTGCTCCGGACCGCATAGTCAAAGTCCGGGGGACTGTGTTACAGTTCCTCCAGTACCCCGTTGCGTCGGCCCGAACATGGCTTCGGTTGCTCGGCAACATGGCGGCGACAGTGGGCGTGGT